TTGCTACCTCTGCCATCGATGTTTTTCTCGCGGTCAGCCTCGGATCAAGAAACTGCATTCACCATCGTGCCGGGAGTCTATAAACCTTCGCCACGATAATCGGCCGATCCTCTAACTAGCGAGTTGCATCAGAATTCTATGCACTCGAGATACCTTTAACGCGTTTATTCTTGATAAAGAAACGAGTCATGAACACCGAGGAAAATAAGATGAAAGGGGAGCAACCGCACCCAGAATGATTATGAAATCTTAACAAATTAATATTGTAAAATAAACTATTATTCTAATTAAATTCAAATACTTAAGAGTGCTCCTAAGTATCTGAAATGAAATTTAAAAAATTTTTCAAATTTCAAATCTTAAATAGGATTTTTAATGATCACCTGTTTACAAAGCAGCTACGGTTTCATCCCAGTTCCTTGTCTTTCAGATACCGGGTTTAGACGGATGCAAACCGCCGTGGAATTTCTCGATAGGGACAAATTGCCTAGGGGATCGAGCACGGGTAGAAGCAGAACGGATCGAGTATAAAAATATAATACAATTATGCATGCAATCGGAGGAGACCGTGTTGTTTTGCTGATTTACGCCGGCGAGGTCCAAGTTCAGACGCCACGATCGACCTGGCTGTGTCGATGAAACAGCCTGGTGTCGACGACTCCGTAATCGTGATACCGGTCGGAAAATATCCACGTCGTATAAAGTAGTCTGCTGTTGACAATGTTGTCAAACAACGTCCATGAATTTTTAAGAAGCTCTTTCCATTAGCCCTCCAAGTAGATGGACGATGGTTTGAAGCTGGTCTTATATTTAAGGTTGTTTCAAGTCAAGTTGTAACACGTTTGAGAAAATTTATTGTCAAACAACTTCCAAATGTAGATAAAATAAATTTTTAAGAAGCTCTTTTCATTAGTATTCCAAGTCATGGTTTGAAGTTAAGCTGAAGTGGTGTTTGAGGTTGTTTGAAGAGAAGTTGCAACATGTTTGAGAACATTTGTTAAATTTATTTTTCTACTACCATTAATTGTTCAAATTAAATTGATTATCATATTAGAAAGGTTGAAGTTGAATGAAGTTTGAGATGGTTTGACGTGGATTGTATGAAATTTTCTTCTAGAAAAGTTATCCTCTTTTCCTGGTGATTGACGTCACAGGAAAACAAAAGTTACACAATTGCTGTTAGTGTAACCCGAATCGTGAACAACACGTCTCGACCATTGCTCTTCGGAACATGTGCGATCTGCGTGCAATTACATATGTTGTGTAACAATAATGATCCGTGTAAACACACTGGTATAATCGGTAAAAGTAGCCGAATGTATCGGTAAACAACCCTTCGTGAGATTGGGCGGAAATTGAAGCTGTATTTAAATGTTGGTGTGATTTCATTTGACCGGTTGCTCTTATCACTTTCTTCGACGCGGGTGACTAAATATTCGGAATATTACGCCGACCGAGTGGTCGGCTCATTGTTATTGTTCTATATTTAACCGAGAAACCTTATCCTTATGTGTGTGGCATTTATTAATATACTCACGGGTACGTACAGGGTGTTCTGGTCAAATCTTGGAAACTATATTTGCAATATTTCATTTTTAAAGTTCCAAGTACTTGATACGAGCATTTCTACTTAGGTAAGAAAATCCTTAACACTGGATTCGCTTTGACTCTCTCTAGGGCTCCCTAGAACTCTGCTAGGGTTCCCTAGAATTTTCTTAAGACTCTAGAACTCTCCTAGGGTTTCCTAGAATTTTCTTAGGACTTCTTAGAATTTTCCTAAGGTTCCCCACCTCCCCTAGGGTTCCCTATCATCCCTAGGGTTCCCTAGACTTTTCTACGTCTTCCTAGATTTTCCTAGAATTCCCTACACTTTTCCAGGCTTCCCTAGACTTCCCTAGATCACCCTAGAACTTTCCTGGAGTTCCTCAAAACTTTCCCAGGGTTCCTAGAACTTCCCTGGGTCTCCTTAGAACTCTGCTAGGGTTCCCTAGAATTTTCTTAAGACTCTAGAACTCTCCTAGGGTTTCCTAGAATTTTCTTAGGACTCCTTAGAATTTTCCTAGGATTCCCTACCATCCCTAGGGTTCCCTAGACTTTTCTACGTCTTCCTAGATTTTCCTAGAATTCCCTACACTTTTCCAGGCTTCCCTAGACTTCCCTAGATCACCCTAGAACTTTCCTGGAGTTCCTCAAAACTTTCCCAGGGTTCCTAGAACTTCCCTGGGTCTCCTTAGAACTCTGCTAGGGTTCCCTAGAATTTTCTTAAGACTCTAGAACTCTCCTAGGGTTTCCTAGAATTTTCTTAGGACTCCTTAGAATTTTCCTAGGGTTCTCCACCTCCCCTAGGGTTCCCTACCATCCCTAGGGTTCCCTAGACTTTTCTACGTCTTCCTAGATTTTCCTAGAATTCCCTACACTTTCCCAGGTTTCCCTAGACTTCCCTAGATCACCCTAGAACTTTCCTAGAGTTCCTCAAAACTTTCCCAGGGTTCCTAGAACTTCCCTAGATCTCCCTAGAACTCTGCTAGGGTTCCCTAGAACTTTCCTAGAGTTACCCAGAACTTTTCTATGATTCCCTAGACTTTCCCTACACTTACCCTTAATCAAAGGAAACCTCGAGGACTTAACACAGCTCATAGTCTCCTATAAAAACTTTCTAGAAATAGATTTTAGAAAATTACGAACCGATACACTTCGTGCGATCTTTTATTGTATACCTATGTTATCGTTCGAATATTTTTGTTTCTCCCCGTATACACGTATATATAGATGCTTTGGTTGTTACGAACAAACACGAGAGATATTCAATAAGGTACATGACACATCGTGGCTCGCGAGAGAAGAGAACTGGCCACGCTATCTTGGCCGTTCACATCGGTTCAGAGGTCAATCAATTGAAAAGAGACAAGGAAAAAAAAAGAGCGTCCGTTAACGGGCGCCCCGCGTTAATGGGTACCGCGTTATAATTGAAACGACAATCTTTAGTGCAGCAATTATTCTTGGACGGGGTAATAGGTTTTTTACAGAGCGTTCGTTTATTAATAGATCAGCTTCGTTTCTTCGTTCGTTCGCTCGCGGATCGTTCCTGGCTGGTCAACAATCCTTCGCTATCGCGAAAGGAATCGTGTTAGATCGCGAAGAATATTCCAGGAAATGTGAAGATCAATGCGGTTCCCAGTTAGGCTTCCGTGAAAGTGAATACCATTGTCTGGATGAATAATAGTGATGATGAAGTTAAACTTCTTCTTAGAAATTTTCAAGTAATACAACTTGGAATTCATTTAAATCTTCATCGAGCCTTCCAAGATTTTTATAAAAATTTTCAGATTAAATATTTGAACTTAGCAGGTTCAAATGCTTGATTGCTTTTGAAATTAGGAAATTAAGTATAATTGAATTGAAATTTTTGTGTCAATTTACAGTGTTTATATTCAATATTTACCAAGTTAATGTTAGTCAAGTTAAACTGAATTTTAATATTTCAATTTTCTTTGATAGAAATTTTTAATACAGATAGCAGATTTTAACTTAAAATTATTTGTTTGTATAAATATTCATTTGTTGTCCCTAAAATAATCCAACCGCAATAATCAGGCAAATATTTATTTAGTCCTATGGTATTATGCCTCAGGGTAATGTATGCGCCACGAGATTACTTTATCGACATAAATATATGAACGAATAACAGTGAACGAGTTTATGGCGGTTCACTCGCTATGTCAATAACGTATGTACAAGCAAATAAAGAACAATCGACTTTTTACCGGAAACGTTTCGATCATCGACGAAACAAACGCTTGGTTGTTTACCAATTTCGTTCGAGAATTATCAACACCTCGATGAGTCATGTCGAACATCGGGGAATCTCGTTGCACAGAAACATTTACGGTAAAACCCTCGCAAAATCTGTGAAATCATTTCTTGAAATTAAAGAAAATCCAAATTCGTGCCTGAAATTAGAACCTTCGCGCCATAAATTGGCGAGTCGTTCTGCGCATGCGCGGTAGATAACCCCCACTCCTAGTATTTCAAACCCCGCGAAAAATCACTCTTTTCAACTTGAAAATTGTATTTCGAAGATGTTAGTTAATAAAACTTTGTTAAAAATTAACAAACGAGGGTACAGAAAAATTGTGCAGCCAGTCTATGATAATTTATTATTTAAAATGTCTATAAATGAAAGTAGAAGTTTGACGATTAATTAATTTAGCAGAAGGAATCTTATACGAGGTTGACATAGATAAAGCAAGCTTAATATAGCGATTTTCTATCTAAAAATTCATTACTTCATATTCGGTTTCGAATTTAGTTGCACAGGGCAACGTGTACAGAGATATTCACCGAAAGGTCAATCGAAAATATTTTTAAACTTCCATAGATTCGAAGGAAAAACAAAAATATCTCGTTGGGTCATATAACTTAACTGACTTTAGAAATAATAGACACATAATTGGCTCCGGTAGGATCTCTGATAAGCAGATAAATTATCAATAACACTCCCTTCCCTCGAGTCACGAAAATAACAAACAGCATCTACAAAAAATACAATCTATCAAATGTATTGAACAAAAAAAATCAATGTACACATTTCTAAAGAACTATCTATTCTCTTTAATCGTTTTAACCCTTGAACGGCGGAGCCTAGGTCAATCGTGACCCAAACTTTCAAAACATATACAAGGATATGAACCTAAAATTAGATGTACAATTTTGAAACGAAAGAATTTCATGTATTGGAAGAATAATTTCTAGAGAAATTAAAATTGTGGCTCTCTCCCTGGTCCGCCATCCGAGGTCGTGTGTATTATACCTTATGATAGAAAAATAATAATAATTAGTAGCAATTATTATGGCTATAGGAAATTCATTAGGTGCTAAAAATAATCTTTTTCATCATTATCATTTTACAATATTTTTTATTTCTAAAATATTTCAATAAAAGAAGCTGATTTATAGCCATTTGTATAATTTGAAATTTTGCCAAATTTCTGCCAACTCACCTGTGGTCCTCAACTTTTCCATCAAAGACCTAATAGAAAATGGAACATCAAATGAAACATTCAAATTTACCTTGAATCCTCCTATCAGAATTTCCTACAAATAGATGTTTTCGATTTCCAATGTTAGAAGCCCTGATAAACTTCATCATGGAACCTCTAACTGGCGCCTGGAGGCCCCAGTTACCCCCCTTCGAGAACATAATTTCTCGAACCCGAGGTCAGGCGTCAGTCTCGTGGTAGAGTCCCTTAGATCATCCTCGGGAGACGATAATTACCGGTCGTCGACTCGGATCGATCGATCGGTATCCTACGGTTATCTTATCCAGCCTCCCTTTCGGTACTCTATTTCTCGATCGGCCGGTGAAACTCCGGCGGGCGGGCGCATTTTTTTTCGGCTACCATGGCGCGGCGGCCAGGGCAACGATAAGCGATAAGGGCCGCGAGTTACACGCGGTGATAACCCCTTGGTACTCGCATGAGGTCAACCGGGGAACGGCACGCTTTCCTTCAACACGGCCGACTTCGTGGCGTCTATATTTAGATTATCAATGGCCGGTCTGATGTACCAGGAAACACCGCCTCCGAGGAGATTCAGGAGAAGTTGATCCAGAATTCCAGGAAACCGAATAGCCCGGATGAATGGACCCGCTTGGTTCGTCTGTGAAAAATCGTAGAGACGCCTCGAACTCGGTGTTAACGACCTCGATATCTTCCATGAATAAAGTTTCGGATTTTAATGTTCGCTAATGAAGATTTACACCTGCTGGATGGAAATCTGAATGATCAATTTCATTTCAACCCCTTTCAATTTTAATGCAAATTTTTGTATCTTGCAAATGGAAGGTTCACTGTTTGGTGGTTGCATTTCTTAAATCGAGTGTAGGTCAACGGATCTGAGAAGAAAGTTGGTCAGTAGGGTGAAGATTGGAGACTTTCAGATTGTATTCAGGAATGTGAGACAGGGTTGGCTGTTACGAGACAAGGCAGAGATAGAATCGTGTTTCAAGTGAAAATAGTCGACGTGATCGCAGTTCCGCAAGAGGTCGCCAAGGATTATATTGATGTTCTGTGTGGACCGTGTTATCGTTAGTTTGTGGATTGGTTCACGTGTTCATTTCGTAAGCTTCTACTTTGCGAATCTGATTTAATTCGATGCCAGAGGCAGAGAAATGGTTGAAAGTTTTTAATTGTGTGGGGTAAAGGGGTGTATATTCCACCCTTTAAAAAATTCTTTATTTCTAAAAAGTATTGTAAATTTGTTATGATGAAGACAATTACTTTCAGGACCTAATAAACAGTTTTTTATAACCATAATAATTATAATACTAATTATTATTATTTTTCTTTTGCAGGTGACTGGAAATCAAGGGGTGTGTTTTCATCCTTTAAATACTTTTTTATTTCTAGAAAATATTGTGAACTGTTAATGATGAAGAAAATTACCTTGAGGACTTAATGAAAAATTTACTATAGCCATAATAATTAATATTAATTATTATTATTTCTTTTTGCAGTTGACTGGAAGATAGGATATAATCAAGGGGTGTATTTCCACCCCTTATATACTTCTTTATTTCTAAAAAATATTGTAAATTGGTAATGATGAAGAAAATTACTTTGAGGACCGAATGAAAAATTTTCTATAGCCATAATAATTAATACTAATTATTATTATTTCTTTTTGCAGGTGACTGGAAGATTGGATTCGAGAAATAAATATAATCAAGAGGTGTATTTCCACCCCTCAAATACTTCTTATTTTTAAAAAATATCGTAAATTGGTAATGATGAAGAAAATTAGTTTCAGGACCTAATGAACAATTCTCTATAATTAATACTAATTATAACTTTATCTTACAGGTGACTGGAATTACTTAACAGGTTAAATAATTGCAAGATTACTACAAAAAAGAATATTGATTGAGTTTAGGGTATCAATCGTTAATTATCGATTGTATCAGACAAAAAATTTGCCGAATATAACCGAGTTAAGATATTAATGTATTATAGAAATAAAAAGGGAGCTTATCGTTGATAAGTAATATCGAATATATTTAGAATGCAAATTGAAGTCAACGAACTATTTTGGAATTTTTTGAGAATTAATATTGATTATTCGAACATCGAAAACAAAAGTGTACAAAACATGCCGTGTTTTTGTCCTTATCGATATTTTTACTCCTTCATGATTTTCATTGAAATAACCGGACAAACATAATTACTTCACTTTTCCTTATAAAGAGAAAAACAAACGGTTTTCAAAAACAAAGATTTAATTCCAATTAAATTTTCTCAAGCTAAATATCAGTATATGTAAATATTCCGTTATCGTTTCACAATTAAAAAATAAAAATAAAAAACAGAGAAAGAGAGAGATAGACGTTTCTTTTCTACAACAAAATCAAGCGATAAAAACGATGTACGATACAGATAATAATATAAATACTTCGTTGAACGATAAGCTTTATCAAAAACTTCCAAAATATCCAGTTCACCAGCGTTAACAGAAAAATTCGAGGAAAATACGTGGAAGCAACGGGAAATGAAAGTGGCAGTGAGTCAGATGTATCCACGGTATCGGAGTGTGTGAAACGCAATCGAAGAGGAAGAGGGTTAAGAATAATTGATAAAGCAACGAGCGTCTGATGTGTCTTACATAAAAGTAATAACAACCAATTGGACGCGTGCCGTTCTTCCATGTAACATAACCCAGACCTAACCCAGGACCTATCGTGCCGAGAGTGCAATTGCCACGATGCTCGGTTTTATTCCATCCAGCAGGAGGGCCGGGAATTGCGAAACGATCGTTCAAAGTTTGACCTAACGACACTGATACGAAGAATCTTGATTAGAACTTATGTACATATGTATGTAACGACCTTTGCGTTTGCTTCGAGGCTCCTGGCGCCATAGAATCCGAGAATATCAGACGATTCTTCGTTCGATCTTAGGAATTTCGGGTGGATGTTTAGGAAATGATTTTATGGTAATACAAGGTTGGTTGAACAAAGTATTACAAGCTTTGATGTTACGGTAAATTTTAGAACTTTCAAGAGTTGTGCTTTTACTGATTCCACAGAGTAAAATGTTTGGGTTCGTACGAATTCTAGGATAAGGTAAGCAATTATTGACCCTTTTTCTGAAAAAAGTAAGAAATATTGGGTTTTTTAAATTTTTGATAGCGGACCATGGAGAGAGACCCTCGACCGCGGACCCTGGAGAGAGCCCTAAGACACCTCTAATTTTATGTTCTACATTTTGCACTGTCCCCTCAAAAATTACTAAGGGAGTTACTCCTTAAATTTAGAGAGAGCTTAACGTAGAACCTTCTAGCTTTTGAAAATAACAAATTAGGGTTAAAAATGTTCCACGTCTTTTCTCTTCCAAATACAAATAAAATCCATTATTTAATGATTAATTCTAGTATTTACAAATTCGTGAATTAATTTAAACTCTGAATGAACATGAAAGATTCTACTTAATGAACGAAGTTCATGAATAGATATGAAATAAAACAAGGTACGATCGATCGTTTGTTTACCAAGCACGGTTCAACGAGAAGGAAAGGTAGGCACGAAGGATACACGCATAATAATACGTGTATTAAATATCACCGGGTAAAAGAGAGGGTTCATAAATCGATGGGACGCGCCCGAGGGAAAGCAGTGACGGTCAAGTCATGGAGAGATTCAGTCCACCAGCGGCTTCATTGAAGAAAAGAATCAGCCCCCCAATAGCATGGAATCTGGGCCTGACCAGCAGGGAACCAAAGTTCGTTAAAGCGATCCTGTTGGGTCATCAGGGTGTCGGTAAAACTGGTAAGAATCGCAAAATTTAGATACAAAAATTTAGATGTAAAATAAAAAAGAAGAAATCATTGTTATTTGTATTTAGCTCTGGCAGTGAGATTCGCTACGAAACGATACATCGGCGAATACGATTGTAGTACCGAGAGGATATACAAGGTTGACAACTTCCTGGATGCCACGTGGGAGATAACTGATCCCCCGGGATATTTGCCACCACCGACCGAGCTGAAACTACGATGGGCAGATGTGATTATTCTGGTTTATTCGGTGTCCGATCGGGTTAGCTTCGACGAGACATCTCGTCTTCGGTGAGAAAAAAATATTGTAATTTTTGTTTGGGGGTTTTGCAACTATAGTACGAACGTATTAAAAAATAATAATCTTTCTTCTGTATAGGAACCATGTTTTTATTGTAATTAGAACTATTTTTAACTGTTAAAAATGAAACATCTCTTGACTTTAATTTTGAATTACAGAAAATATGAACTATTTAAAAGTACTCTAGAAAAACAAGGAAACCGACGTTTGATACACATTTGTTTTTCAGTTGAAAATAATGTAGAACAGTAAATAGATCAAGAGTGAAACATAATTTAATTTCTTCATTTTTAACAAAAATACCTTTATAAAATTTATAAATTAAAATAAGAAACTAGAAGCCAGTCATTTCGACTGGCTTGGTAGTTATAGTGTTACACTGGATGTAGCTAGATGTAAAATATACATTTTACAGTAGATTTTACAGTAGATGTAAAAAATAGAATCCAAAAATTGAAAATGAAATTCTTTTTTCGACAAATAAGCCTCTTTATTGTTTCGCTACATTTTAGTTAAAATGTATAAAATTAATGAAAAATAGTCCACATAGAAATAGGGTACCATCCAGGGTCAATACGTCCCATACAGTATGAGAATTTAAAACAATATTAGAGACATATTTTCCTCGAGCAGAATGTGTATCGACGCATCGATGCTATTTTTAATGAATTGTGCAAATATCAAAGGGTTGTGAAAGAAATGCCAAAGGAACGCGCGCTGAGCGAAGGGTGAACTTAAAAGAGGGTGAAACTTGTAATATTGCAAGGGGTAGATAAATAGAATTTGATTCTTCATTTATCTTAGGTTCTTAGTATCACACGCAAGGAAAACTAGGCGAGTACCACCCGTAGTGGTACTGATAGCTAATAAAGCAGACGTAACGTACACACCTGGCGAGAGGGTAGTATCCACTGTGGAAGGTCGTCAGAGAGCCGAAGAGATCGAGGCTAATGCATTTCACGAGATTTCTGTCAGAGAATCTGTCGAACAGGTAACTATTCTCAACCATACCTTAATTTTAATTTCACAAAATTAATTACGTAAAGATTTATTAAGAATGTTGTACCAGGAAGCTTGTAATTCCATATAAATATGAACTCTCGGATGGCGGACCATGGAGAGAGCCCCAATTTTAATTTCTTTCATATTATTTTACACTGTTCCTCTGAAAATTATTTTAAATTAAACTCCTTGTATATATTTCTAAGTTTGGGTCTCGATTGACCCATAACACTATTCGAGGGTTAAACGTAGTACTACGTTATTTGGATCTTCCGTCGATTTTACTTAATTTTTTTATAAATTTTTTTACATGGAATTTAATTTTAATTAAAACGCAGGAATTTAATTTTAATTAAAACCAGAACAGTTTTGTATAATTGAAGCATGAAATCATGCTATTTGAGATGACACAACAGCACGACATCGGCTTTAAAAAAATCAGAAGTCGTTGACACGGTCGTGTTACGTCTCGAACGATAATGATGGAAGCATTTGACGTAACACTGGCATTGACTCCTTCCCCGTACATATGATCCCCGGGCATAACGTAGTACTACGTGTTTCATTTTACCCTATTTCTCGATTATACAATCAATTGCGAAAAGATCCATCGAACGCTTCCAGAAAGTTTTACTCGAAAATTTCCTCGATCAAAAAAAGTGACGTAGTACTACGTGTTTAATTTTGTAACGTCCGAGAAGACAGACAGATAGCAAAGTGTTATCGATTTCGAAAGTTTTGGGGGTACAAAAATCTATCCAACGTTTCTACTCAAAAATTCCTATCATTGCGTATAACGTAGTACTACGTTGTTTACATTCTGATATTTTCGACTCGTCGCATCGATCGTAAACACGGTTAACATGCAAACAATCATCGGCTATCTTCGAAAATTCTCCGGACTCGACGAACGTAGTACTACGTGCGAGTAAAATTTACAAACAAACCGATCGTTTAATCGAACGCGAAATGCTTTTATCGAGCGAAATTCACGGATCATCGGTATATCATGGGCAAAACGATACAGAGAGCCGATTGACGTAGTACTACGTCATTGATCGACCAAGACGTCTGGCGAGCCCGATCGAGATAATCATCACCGGAAGTCTTATTCCGAATGCGGAAGAGGGCAATTTGGCGAATCGACAATACCCGATCCGATGCCCGATCGATCTAATCGTCGGTCCGGTTATTTTTCTAAAGCGATTGTTTACTTCACCGGGAAATCGGTCATGGCGTTTACGCGTGATCGAGAAGTGGTAAACAAAATCTGTATCGCGACCGAGCTGGCTGAAAGATACACCAGCATCGGACATGATCGTCCCTGCTTATCAAGGGTATCGTAATGTGGCCGCAATTAAAAATTTGTTTCACAATTAATTATCCGCAGACACCGTCTGCTCGAATCTCGAGCACTTTATCTGTCGCATTCCTTTTCCTTTTTCCTACGATCGTGCTCTCCCCGATTCGTTTCATTCGCTGTTCGCCTCCCGATTTCGATTCGATTCGAAAGGGTTGAATAAAAATTTATATTGATAACACCGTACACGTGTCCGATACGTAAAAAAAAGAAACGGCATTGTGATAATGCGAGAGAAAGAGAAAAATACTCGGCACGGTGGTTGAATAGATAATCGCACATATAGGTTATGTAACGATAGCAACAGACTGGCCCGATTATTTTTATTCGACAGGTCATGGCCGTTTTTACCGACATCTCCAAGCTGTTGACGGAATTGCCCGGTAATTCTGGACAGCAGGGAAGCTCTTTCAGGGTGAGGGCATCCACTGACAGTACTTTGAACGCTCTTCGACGACCCTCTCCTGTTCCGCTCAAGAGGAGATTCAGTATCTCCGTGCGAGGAACTACTCATTGAATCGGCGATTTATAGTACTAGAATGTATTTATTGAAGTTTGGTATTTTTCAGTTCAATAGAAATCTGATCCGAAGGGTTTCAAACCCGCTTGGGCTGCCTGGGATCCAGGGCCGGCCCTGGGCCTAGGCAGACTAGACGGGCACTTAGGGCCCCCCAAGGTCCAGGGCCCCTATAAGACGACTTTGCGTCTAAGAATACAAGAAGAGTAATCTAAATTAGTTATACAAGCTTTAATGTTAATTTTATAAATTTTATTTGAGGTACCTTTTTTATTATGTGAAGGGAGCTCGCTTCGAACCCCCGAAATCCTAGGATCGGCCCTGCAGAGATCGCTTGAGTTTCAAATTTCTTTTAGAATAATAACTAAAATTTGTTATAAAACAATATTTATTAACGTGAAATATTAACAATAAAAAGAGCGCAGTTGTTGTATAATTCAACCGTGTCTTATTGCCAATGTAAGTGCCTTTGGATTTTCATCTTGAATAGCCGCCCTGCAACGAGCCACCGTGCTCGAGGCACTTTTTCCAACTGAAAATAGATTTAAAGATTATATCATCCTCCGATAGAAATTTATTTCAAAGGCTACCTCTTAATCTAGCTGCACGTTGTACTCCAAGGTTCAACTCCTTCAAGTTCATTGTGAGCTCTCGATAACTCTTCATCCTGATTTCGTGCTCTCTTATCAAATCCGCATTAACATTCTTCAGTTGCACTAATCTTCTTCTCATTTCTTCGACGTTCTCAAGAATTCTTGCATCTTCCAATCGAATTATAATATTCTTCAGCAACGTAGTCTCGCTCGCTGCCTCTGCTTGCAGTTTGGCATCGATCTCCTTCAGTTCTACAGCAAAATGATTCAGATTACTGGCGATGAAAATTTATTTAGAAACTTAGGGAATGGAATTTCGTTCACCTCTGACACGTTCCAACGCGTTCAGAAGCTTCTTCTCTTCAGCCGGAAACGTGACCTCGGAGGAAAGCTCTCTGAGACCCAAATACATGGCTAGCGATTGAATAATGTCGCCAGCAAACGCAGAATCCTCTGTATGAATGGTCACTTTACCAGTGGAGTTTGCTAGAAAACAATGGACCGTGTCGTCCCTCATCCCACGAAGCCACAGTTCAATGCCTCCATTGTTCATACCGTCTTCTTTTATTTCAAACTCTTCCGGTAGGATGAGGCATTGGTTCAACCATAGAGCGATCCTCTGAGGTCTCTCTGCAAGCTGAACAAGCAGAAGTATTAAAAAATCATCCTCTTTTCACTAAAATGATGTACACAAAAGCATCACTGTCTACTAGTTCATGTTCCATCCACTAATGTACCTCAGCTGTGACTACATTCTCTTTAAAGTCATCAGCAATTTGCTCAGGATGCTCTATGACTTCGTACATACAGAACCTAGGCAGCTGACGGGTCATCTCAAACACCTATCAGTTAAATAAGAATGAGGAAATATTCCAACAGTGAGTATTCTATTCAACGCTGACTTATATTTCATACCTGCAGCAAATCTGCTCCAGCTGGACCTACGCAGACCTTCACATGCATGTCCACAGGAGTGTTCTTCGCTGGATGGAGTTCTATTTCCAGCTCTCCTCTTGGTTTGCTGGGATGGACAACCAGGGTTTCACCTTCGAACACTCCCTCAGTAAATACTATGGCACAATGAATCTGAAAGTAATTGAAGTTAAAGGATAAATAGTAAAAAACAATTTTATGAATCAGTTGATTGACTGACCAAGAGTCCAGGTCCAGAGGCAAGAGACACACGTGCAGCACCCCTAGACGTCATTAAACTGACAGCCAATTTGGTCCCATGGTACATGTTGGGAACAGATGAGGCCCTTTGCCTGAGTTCCATCTGCAACACCTGTTTCCTGGCTAACAGTTCTCGCATAGCTTCACCAGGTTCTGGGGTGTCCATCGTAGAACTGGAACTGTAGCCTCTAACTAAAATCAACTTTGAATCAACTGGATGGTTCCAATTCTTTCTCTTCATAATTAAAAAGATACTTTATTGAATAATTAAGACTGAAAGGAATATCATAGTGTCACAGGAAAATGATGTTTTACCTTCTCCAGTTGTAGATACTACCACCAAGTCAGGCTTGCCTAGCCTCCTGTAATCGGCCTCCACGATTCCAGCGACCCCAGCTGATAATTGGATTTTAAAAATTACTTCTCCACTGTCGGACGACCTAGCGTCCACTTTTCCATTATTCCAGCCGGTTATGACTTCCGGAGTGCCGTCCCCATTAACGTCGAAGCTACGCGTAACCACCACCCTGTGCTTCGACTGAAAAATTCATCGCATCGAACCTTCTGCTCATCTATTTTTATTCCTTTGTTCAGACTGACCTTAACACGCCAGAGCCTCTGGGACATTTCGTAGACGCCCAGAGTTCCATTTCCAACGGAATAAACGAATCGTCGATTAGGGAGAGCTGTTAAGCTGGTAATAGGGGCTGTTTCCTTGACCTCCCATAGTACACTACTCTGTTTGTGCACTTTTATTTCAAAGTCTTCCGTGCCAGTGACCAGCTTTCGACAATGATTTCAGTATGCATTAAAGAATAATTCATAGAAGGAGGTTTTGATTAGTTTTACCTCATTCTCGTTGTCCCCGTTGAAGTCAAAGACTGCCAGAGAACTGACCACACCTCCTACAACTGTCCAGAATATCTCTGCACCCTGCGAGTCCAAGATGGTCACTGAACAATTTCCACCCACTATTGCAACCTGATTCGATAACCAGCTTAATTTTCCAATGAGTATGCATTTTGCCCCATCAGACATCTGGAGAAAGAAATAATTAAGTATCTTCTTCTTGATAAGCTTAGAATCATCCAAGGTACCTCTTTATAGAAGATGTCAGAGTTGTCTTCAATGTGATAAGCAAGAACATGAGTAACGGTCCCAATTAAGAGGATATCCCTTTCATCTTCACCAAGTCGACCAGTACAAAGTGCTGTAATCTAATAGAAATATTTTAAAATGTAATCTTGGATCATTTAAGAATATTTAATTTCACCTTGGTACCAATTTGAAGTTCAGCCAGCTCTCCACTCCAAGATAATTTCCTATCAGTTTGCTCATGATCATGACCGGTTATTTGCGGCTGCCTGTGAGGACTGTGCACCAAAATGTTCCCGCCAAAAGTAGCCACCGCTAAACATGCATGGGAACCGTCAAACTTGCCGCAAGTGACAAGACCAGGCTCCACGTGTTTCTCGATATTCAGAGAAAACGCTGCCATTTTTAAACTGGCCTACTTGTTTACACATATTCTAATGCATAGTGCTAACAGGCTATGGTTTGCTCATTGGGGGTGGATTATTGATCCCTGTTACACCTGTGAACCTTATCTTCTGTATTAAACTATACATATTGATGGTGCATAGTTACAGCTGTTAGTATTCAAAGAGATGCAGAGTAGTAACACATCAATATAGATTTTTATGTTTTTATATAGAATATCAAAATGGTTAAGTAGAAATGTAAATGAACGAAAAATTTTACTTAAATCATTGAGTTTATTCAGGAGATGTAATTATGATTGTTACAATTGTTATTATGAAAGAACATTGTAATTTTATAAATAAACGATCCGCGCACGAACACTCTTCGAGAAATACCCGCACCCACAGATGTAATGATACGGTCTCCTCACTGTCTCTGGCCACTACCACCTCCTGCTCCTCCAGCTTCAGGATTCGTTGCAGATGATAGAACAACAAAGATTAACGCAGGAACAATGTACATCCACTGAAACAAGAATACGATGATATATAATGCGAGAATATAAATATAAATGTTATTCAAAACAAGGAACTTACGTATCTTGCAAGGAAAGATCTGTTATCTTTAGCTTCTCCTCTTTCTCTTGCTTCTCTTTCACGCTCAAGTTTCTGAATGTACGTAGCAGTGTCCGGAACTGGCCCACCATCAGGATATTTAACAACAACGTTAGTTGTCCACATGTTTGTAAACGGACTCTCTGTACTACATGGGCCAGGCGAGGAAAGGCTTACAACTATTGGTTCGGCTGCACTATCCAGCCAAACTGTTATTACATCTTCAAGATCAGAACCAAGAAGATAACACTGTAGAAATGAATAGAAATACAGATGTCATCTATAAAATGTAGCAGTTATTAATGATGAAGGAAGTGCAATTACCGCTGGTACAGAAGTTAAAAATGTTATTTCATTTCCAGATGAGATACGGGCTACTGCCTTGAGTTTATACTTCCCATCATTTTTGGCGAGATTTTTCAACTCATTTATATGTAAATGCAATAATCCGTTTTGCCCAATAACAGATGCACCACTTCGTACACTAGATATTGTGACATTTCCACGTTCTATGAAAATGGGTTCTGGTTCATCATTGAACGCATGCCATAGTCTTAGATGCAGCCATCCATCATAGTCTAATTCACTCTGAAATTGTGACAAAATTGGTTAATATATGACAAACTACGAATTATTACAAACTTATGGCTGTACTAACCCCCTGAACCACCGATGACACGCTAAGTATCAAACTTATACAGAAGTATATTATGTACATTATTAAAATTATTTATCTTTAACAGGATAGAAACAGAGTCAAATTGATTTCATTTTACAACGTTAATCTCTTCTTACAAGCTATTTGTTAATACTAAAGCAACGTGTAAGTTTCCGCACTACGGTATAAACAATTTTAACAGTAACAAAGTTGACATTTAGTTTTCATTATTTCCATTCTTATACAGTTATTATTTAGATCTATTCAGTTTTATCTTAAATTTAAAGTATCATCAAATTCTATTCTAAAATATTAATTGTTAAAGTTGAACAGTTTAGAATGATTTATCAACTTTCTGTAACTTTTCTGTACTTCTGTTGGCATCAGTTGGTATTATCTAGTGAGGAATTTATATCAGTCCTACTAATATTACGACACCTCGCACTTACAACTGAAACGACACAATTTTGACTCGCTTTAATTCTGTTTGTTTTTAAATCAGTACAAGCCGAATAATTAATAAAATAATTGCTTGATAAACTTGCGTTTTGAAAAGACCGCCATAAATCAAGTATTTTTAAAATTCGATCCCAGCGTCAGCTAAGTAAAAACGGCGGAAACTACTCAACAAGTTACCGATCGATAACACAAGTTTATCAAGCAATTATTTTATTAATTATTCGGTCTTGCACCGAATAATCAGATTTGTCTTTTCAGTTGAAGTTAAATTATGTAATTAATTTATAATTAATGTGTGATGCCATCCCGTCAACTTGCATTATATAGGTTGTTGCAGTGATGAATAAATTTTTATCTGAGGTGAGCGTCGAAAATTTTACCGACAGATCCTAGAGAAATTCCTAGACGCGAGTTTTCAAATTACGTCCTCATTTCTGAACAGAATGTAAAAAAATTTGAGGGACCTGTTCAGAAGGTTCTAAAGAATATTTGTCTGGTCCTTATATTATCCAACTCGTCAAAAACTGATAAAATATTGAAATTGCTGTCTGTCAACGGTCAAGAAAATGGCGGATCGGACTCACCTGCATTGATCTATTCGTAATATAAACATTTCTGTGAATCGTATGTCCAAATAGAGACCAGACGGATATTCTTTGGGTCGGATAGAATAAAACGAGCACCCAAGGGATGATGTACAAGTCTCCAGGTAGAAGTAATTTGAAAACTACGATTTCGTTGATTGTTCACTCGCGAAAGACGTCAACAAGGTAAAACAGACCAGAAATTTAGTTTTCCGTTCATTCTGTACGGCGCAGTTTGTTCGTTTGATTAATAAACAATTGTAAAATTAAAAATAATAATTAAATAATTTTTAATATAATAATTAAACAAAATTTTGCAATATACCCACGCGGAAATGTAAAGAAATAAACAATTTAAATAGATATAACAATAATTTGATTAATAAACAATTGTAAAATATAAAATAATAATTAAACAAATATTAACAAATATCAGATAGAAATAGTTAAATCTGCAGAACCGGTGAAGCGGAACGTCATGCTTGATTGCGCGCGCCGCGCGCCGGTACAAGCGCGACCTGGAGGAAGGTCAAATCTAGTCAGTCTTATCGCGACCGCCGAAGGATACGGATGGAGCTGTCCAACATATACCGGTACGGGTTGACACTATCGATATTCGTGCATGGATTTATCAGTGTATTACCACTAGTGTTTCTATGTCTGCCTATGGTGCTTCCTATAGTGTTTCCCATGTGTTTTGGAATATTTATACGGATATATTAGTGCGTCTTATGGTGTGGTCACCCATGTGTTCTGACATTTTTATACAAGTGCATTAGTGTGCTGTGTGGTGTGGTACCCCATGTACCTGCATGTGCTTTATTGTGTTTTATGGTGTGGTTTCCTTTGTGTTTTGACATATTTATACGAATTTATTAGTAGGTTTTATGGATTGGTACCCTATGTGTTTTACTATAATTTTGCAAATATTTTATAGTGTTCTATGGTTTTGATCTTCGAGTGTTTTGGGATGTATTTGCATGTGGTTTACCGTGTTTTATGGTGTAGTTATTCCCATATAGTTTTGCATGCATATTTTTTAATTATCCTATGTATTAGCATAGTAACTACAACAAATTGAGAGAAAACATATATCGTTCAAGAATCGTGATTTTTATGCTTTCAGATGAGTACTTTGGCCAGTGGGGATACCGTTTCTTTGACGAGCCAAAGACGTGCAGTAGTGCAAGTCAACGATCGGTGAGTCGCATGCTTTAAAGTTCCTCCGGTTCCCATCATGTCGTAGGACGAATGGTCCGTAGCGACACGGGAATTGGTTGTAATTTTTATTTTTTGAGCGAGCATAGTGACCCACGAATATCATTGTATCATTTTATACAATGATAATCGTGCAAATTGCTTTTTTGTGTATTTTATGCCTTAGCTCAGGATAGGGTTTTCTTGTACATATTTACATGTATAGATTTCGAGTTTAAAAATGTAGAGAAGTCGGATGACCCTCCGACTTCACAATACATTTTCTTTTTTATATGTACAAGAATTTATTTCGCGATGAGCGGATTTCAATATCAAAGTAATAAGCATGAATACTATTAATTATTATAACTACTTACTTTGATAACGAAATCGCTCTTGAAATTGAAACGTTTTTCCGATTTTACTTGTGAAATTGGCATCAGTTTAGTATATGGGCTGGCCCCCAGGGGGGTCAGTGTTTGCTTTTCAAGCATTGTATAAAGTTCCCCTTTCGTACTTGAAATTCATTCTGTCATGTTCACGGTTCTCGACCCGAAACACTCATCATTCACACTTCAGCCTCACGAACTCTATCACATAATCATTTATCCACCCGCATACCGTTGTGTAGTGAAATATTACCCCGTTAGGATTTTCAAGTTAAAGTAGTGTTGCGAAAAATTTTCAACGCGAGAATAAATATTAGCCCGTTAAGATTTTCAAGTTTAAGTAGTGTTGCGAAAAATTTTCAACGCGAGAGTAAATATTACCCCGTTAGAATTTTCAAGTTAAAGTAGTGTTGCGAAAAATTTCCGGCGCGAGAGTAAATATGACTATACACTGACTAGTATTCGGTGGGAATCCTTTTGGTTATTATTTGATAAAATTAGTTACAAGGATTCCGCGGCATAAGACCGTGAACACCACCTCATGGGAGATAAAACCATGCATTACTAGGCCTTTGCAGGCACAGCCATAGAGTACGGAACATTTAAGTATGTTGCATCCCATACGCTAAGCTGTCTTAAAGTCCTTTTGCCTATACTATTAGCGTCCACCACTCGGACACGTTGGATGCAACGTGTTCGATGGGTGGGTAGCGCTCTTAGCGAAGGGGTGCACCCTGCCTGGGCCTAGAGCCTTAAACAGGCGGGGTGGGTGGTGTGTAGCGTCGGGCGTAAGTCCAGGAGGCCTAAGAACCTCCGTTGCCAGCTGATATTAGCAGTGGACGAATGTTTGAGTCATATTTGCTCAATTTTGCTGTTCATTATTTGCTCTTCAAGCATAATTTAAAGCTCCCCTTTAGTCATGTTGCTAGATCAGGATTTTTATTTTAATTAGTGTTGCGAAAAATTTCCAGCGCGAGAGTAACTATGACGATGCACTTACTAGTATTCGGTGGGAATCCTTTTGGTTTTTACACTCAATGTTTTATTTAATTAATCAAATTAGTTACAAGGATTCCGCGGCATAAGACCGTGAACACCATCTCTGGGAGATATACCCATGCATTACTAGGCCTTTCAAGGCGCAGTTTAGAATGTGGCGCACATCCATATGTTCCATTTAATAAACTGCAGTCCTTTTGCCTATACTAGGGGCGTCCGTCAATCTGACACGTTGGATGCAACGTGTTGGACGGGCGGGTAGCGCTCTTAGCGAAGGGGTGCACCCTGTTCTAGGCGGGGTGGGTGGTATGTAGCGTCGGGCGTAAGTCCAGGGGGCCCGAAAACCTCCGTTGCCAGCTGATATTAGAAGTGCACCATTTTTGCGTCATAGTTGCTCTATTTTGCTTTTCAGTATTTGCTCTTCAAGCATTATAGAAAGCTCTTCGATCATACTTCAAATTCATTCTGTCACGTTCACGGTTCTCGACCCTAAACACTCATCATTCGCACTTCAGCCTCACGAACTCTATCACGTAATCATTTATCCACCCGCATACCCTTGTGTAGTGAAATATTACCCCGTTAGGATTTTCAAGTTAAAGTAGTGTTGCGAAAAATTTTCAACGCGAGAGTAAATATTACCCCGTAAGGATTTTCAAGTTTATGTAGTGTTGCGAAAAATTTTCAATGCGAGAGTAAATATTACCCCGTAAGGATTTTCAAGTTTAAGTAGCGTTGCGAAAAATTTTCAACGCGGGAGTAAATATTATTCCGTTAGAATTTTTAAGTTTAAGTAGTGTTGCGAAAAATTTCCGGCGCGAGAGTAAATATGACTATACACTGACTAGTATTCGGTGGGAATCCTTTTGGTTTTTACTTGATAAAATTAGTTACAAGGAATCCGCGGCATAAGACCGTGAACACCACCTCATGGGAGATAAAACCATGCATTACTAGGCCTTTGCAGGCACAGCCATAGAGTACGGAACATTTAAGTATGTTGCATCCCATACGCTAAGCTGTCTTAAAGTCCTTTTGCCTATACTATGGGCGTCCACCACTCGGACACGTTGGATGCAACGTGTTCGATGGGTGGGTAGCGCTCTTAGCGAAGGGGTGCACCCTGCCTGGGCCTAGAGCCTTAAACAGGCGGGGTGGGTGGTATGTAGCGTCGGGCGTAAGTCCAGGGGGCCTAAGAACCTCCGTTGCCAGCTGATATTAGCAGTGGACGAATGTTTGAGTCATATTTGCTCAATTTTGCTTTTCAGTATTTGCTCTTCGAGCATAATTTAAAGCTCCCCTTTAGTCATGTTGCTAGATCAGGATTTTCTATTTTAATTAGTGTTGCGATAAATAACGCGAGAGTAAATATGACGATGCACTTACTAGTATTCGGTGGGAATCCTTTTGGTTTTTAAACTCAATGTTTTATTTAATTAATCAAATTAGTTACAAGGATTCCGCGGCATAAGACCGTGAACACCATCTCATGGGAGATAAAACCATGCATTACTAGGCCTTTCAAGGCGCAGTTTAGGATGTGGCGCACATCCATATGTTCCATTTAATAAACTGCAGTCCTTTTGCCTATACTATGGGCGTCCGTCAATCTGACACGTTGGATGCAACGTGTTGGACGGGCGGGTAGCGCTCTTAGCGAAGGGGTGCATCCTTTCCTAGGCGGGGTGGGTGGTATGTAGCGTCGGGCGTAAGTCCAGGGGGCCCGAAAACCTCCGTTGCCAGCTGATATTAGAAGTGCACCGTTTTTGCGTCATAGTTGCTCTATTTTGCTTTTCAGTATTTGCTCTTCAAGCATTGTAGAAAGCTCTTCGTTCATACTTGAAATTCATTCTGTCACGTTCACGGTTCTCGACCCTAAACACTCATCATTCACACTCATCATTCATCAGTATAGTGAAATATTAGCCCGTTAGGTGTTTATGTACTAGTCATGTTTTTAGATCAGGATTTTCTATTTTAATTAGTGTTGCGAAAAATTTCCAACGCGAGAGTAAATATGACAATGCACTGACTAGTATTTGGTGGGAATCCTTTTGGTTTTTAAACTCAATCCACTATTTTATTTATTTAATCAAATTAGTTACAAGGATTCCGCGGCATAAGACCGTGAAACACCATCTCATGGGAGATAAACCCATGCATTACTAGGCCTTTGCAGGCGCAGCTTTAGAATACGGAACATATGAAAATATGTTACCATATTCTAAACTGTAGTCCTTTTGTCTATACTATGGGCGTCCGTCAATCTGACACCGTTGGATGCAACGTGTTGGACGGGCGGGTAGCGCTCTTAGCGAAGGGGTGCATCCTGTCCTGGCGTTACGACGTCCAGGCGGGGTGGGTGGTATGTAGCGTCGGGCGCACGTCCAGGGGGCCTAAGAACCTCCGTTGCCAGCTGATATTAGCAGTGCACCATGTTTTATGTCATAGTTGCTCAATTTTGCTTTTCTGTGTTTGCTCTTCAAGCTTTATATTTGCAAAGTCGAGTCACTTTTATTAAAAATAAAACCCCCTGGGGGGGCCAGCCCATATACTAAATCGGAGCCGTGATATTTCGCCGATATTCTTACTTTTAATAAAGTGAGAATATCATCTTTAGTTTTTGCTAATCATACGTTTTAGCTTAGGCATTTCAGCACACATGAAGAAAACTGGTAGGTGAAAATACCTTTGGCCTTGTTCACTTTTATGCCCAAAGCTCATTCGGGTACTTAGATGTACTCGCGTGGGTGGAGGGCGGTGGGCAAGGTTTAGTTTTAAGTGTAATACATTTTGGCGACTGACAAAAGTAGTGGACTAATAGTGAACCACGATATAAGTTCCACATGTGTGTGTGTGGTTAGGATGTGGGATTTGTATCGTTTATTAACAATCTTAACTTACTATAACATTACAAAATACTTATCAAGAATAAATTGAAAAATTTTTACATTAGATAATTCAATAGAATACGAAAATGAAATGTATTACTTTAGCATAATGTTCACTATTATTTGTCAGTCGATTTCAGCAAAAAGGTATGATTTTATTAGAGTGTGAAAGTTGAATTGAACTCGGGTGTCGGAGGCGTCCCGGGACGTTCTCCCTAGGAGTAGGCTTTTTTGCACCCGGGTGGTTGTATGAGAACCGTGGAGTGAATTTTTGTGAGAATGATTTTTGCCCTTTTTTAAATATAGCGATAGGCAGGCAGGTAGTTTACTTCTGGTGTGATTGAGTTTAGTTTATAAGTAGGCAGGGCCAGAGCAAGCTTTCATGTTTCTCTTCGTATTCTCCTCTAATACGTGAGAAGCTTGTATCTGGGGTTGGAAATTAAAAAATCAAGAGGAAAAATGAAAATGCAAATTAATTAGTTGATTAATTAATTAATTTAGCATTCTCTCTCGATTTTTTCAAGGCCAAGCCTTATTAGTCTGTAAGTCGTAGTCGTGGTACTAGACCCGATTACAAAAATGAAGTATTAAAGTGAAAGTGGAGTGAAGTGAAGTGAAGTGAAATTAAAAGTGTTTTGTGTTTGGACATTTGCAAAAATTGTGCAGGTATGCGAGTAGCGATTCAAAGGATCGCTGCTCGTTTACGTGTTACGTTTTTACAAATGTCTGAGCAAGCGTAAAATTTTCGCGAGTGATTTTTGTGAGGCTATTGCCGAAGAAAGAAGAGGCTATATGCTGAAGAGCCCCGGCAAAATTTGCCCAGAAGAGGGGAACTACTAATGGCTCTCCATCTTCGGATGGACAGTCATTCTGTCACTATGCTCGCTAATTTGTTTTTTCATTTTTTGTGTTTTTCCTTGAACGGTATGAATAATACCGTCCAGGACGTATTGAACTCGACATTTTACGAGTTCAATACCCAGCTCGTTGAATGGTCAACTCGCGATTTTATTTCCCCTATTTCTTTTTCGTTTATTGCTTTATTGAAATAAATTATTCTTTTCTTATTGATTTGCACATCAATTATATTTTATGTTCTTATTTTAATTATGTTCTATTTATTTAAAACATACTCTGAGGTTGTAATGGTAATTATATTTTCTGTTGTCGGCATTTTTCATTTCAATTGTAATCGAAATTATGATGTTAATTATATTTTCTATTTCAGCATTTTATTGTTGAATTATTTTTTAATTGTTACTAAAATTATGATGTTAATTATATTTTCTATTTAGAGGACTGAGTGCCCGGAGACCGCGCAGTATGAAATATTTTCTATTTCAGCATTTTATTGTTGAATTGTTATTTTGTTAATTGTTACAGAAATTATGATGTTAATTATATTTTCTATTTCAGGATTTTATTGTTGAATTGTTATTTTCTCAATTGTTTCTGATATTAGGATGTTAATTCTATTTTCTATTTCAAGATTGTATTGTTTAAATTTTTATTTTATGTTGTCTGTTTTGAATGGTATGACGTTATTGTATATCTAATCCTAATAATTATGTTTTCCATTACAGCATTTTATTGTTAAATTATTATTATTTTCTCAATTGTTTCTGATATTAGGATGTTAATTTTATTTTCTATTTCAAGATTGTATTGTTTAAATTTTTATTTTATGTTGTCTGTTTTGAATGGTTTCACGTTCTTATAATTTTAGGGTGGGTCACTAACGTAGCCACCTCCATGTGGTGTGACCTGGTAATTGATATCGTTTTCTAAAGATAACTTTTAGAAAGCGATATCAAGCTAAGAGCTACGATAAAAAGATTTATATATTTTTTAATTGGGAAACAATAGTTTAAATTCAGAAAAGTATTTTCGGGATTGCAATATTACCATATAGAACGTATAACTATAGTAATTTTATAGTTCCTGAAAAAGGAACTTGTATGATTTTTGACTAATTACCTCCTTCTTTTCGAAGTCGGTTAAAAATAAAATAAAAAGAAAAATCACAAAATATGGAATTTAGAAAGAACGAAGTTGTTTGATATGCAATGGTAGAAAGAAATCAACCCTGGCGAAGATATTTCAAGCAGAGACGTTGTACATTGGAAAGGCCATGACTTTATCCATGACTCTGGTCAGAGGCCAGATGTCGCTCTTGCCCACTGAACACATAATTTCTGCTTTTCATTTGATAGAAATTCGTTACGTTGACTAACAAATATTTTTTTTATAACAATTTTCGAGAGGAATTCATTATTGAATGAAAGTAAAAATTTGCATAAATGGAGGGTGGATGGGATGAGGTAGGGCAGGTCTCCAAACTACAGCAACCTCCTCGTGGTGAGAACTGGGCAATCGTTATTATTAATTAATAACTGTATCATTATTTCTATGGTACATTTATTAATTATACAGCAAATAATACGAGCGAATTGGCTGCGAAATTTATGCTTTCTTTTCTATTTAATCTCTGTTATATATTTTTCAGGAACTATGCTTTTCAGATTCTGAAGTGTATCACATTGCAACTACAATTTTACGGAACGAAATTTAATAATAATGTATGCATGGTCAGTATTGTTTAATTATGTACTTATACATATAGTTATTGTAGCAACACGTGTTATTTAGGTGTATGCGAAAGGTGACGTAGTATAGCATGCCGTTAGTTGATAGGGTTGATAGCATGCGATAATTGAGGTGGCGCTTAAATCAGTTTCTGTTCGGCCTAATTTTCGATGAAACGTTGACTGTTTTACCGACGCGGAATTCGACGCTCGCATCACCTTAATTATTATTGGAAACGGAATATTAATTACACAGTATATAAAATAGTGAAAGAATGTCACTGGATACAATCTGTTCGGACACCGAATTGCGGAAATTAAGGCTTCGAGAATTGTATACGCTTGGACAGATATTAAATCTATCAGATTCATGGAAAAAATTAATGGCAATTGTACCAAAAGATGGAACATCTAATCTTCCAAAATTTACTTCTGAACATTTTAGGTAATTCTATAAAATTATTTAATTAAATAAGTTGAAACAGAATAATGCATTTTTACGTCTGTACAACTTACATTCTTATAGTTTAATTGAGCAAGCCTCACAACAACAGAAAAGAAATGCAGCTGAAATATTTTTATCAGAATGGGGAACAATGGGTAAGAAGAGACCAACATTGGGTACTTTGTTAAATCTTTTGGTAAAAGCAGAATTGTTTAGAGCTGCCGATTATGTAGCTGAGGATATACTAAAAGGTATATAGAATCAAATTATAATTATTAAGATATTATATTTAACTATTTCCTTTTTTCTTTATTGAATAGAGGAACCTCCAAAACGCCCAAAATCTGGACCTGCAGCCCCTGTGAATATTTCAGATGAAGATATAAAAAGACAATTAGAAGAAGAAGAAGAAGAATTACATGAAATTTGTACATTCCAATTACCTTCTAAAAATAATGACAATAAAGACATCAATCCTCGTGCAATGGATAAACAGATGAATAATAGTTCTTTAGAAAGAAATATGCAATCTACAAAATTAATTTCTATAAAAGAGAAACATAATAAAGAAAATGGAGAAATTGGTCTTCAACAAAAGCCGATAGAAGTATCATCGAGTAAAGAAGTTTCTGACTTAATAAAATTTGAAACAGAACAGAGTCTAGACGCAGTACCATCAGTACTACCTTTAAATATACCTAATGCAAACAATTTACAACCTGGTTTTGGGAACCAAGAAATGCCATCGCGCGAATTACCTATATCTTTACGTGAATTTGAACAGACAGAACAAGCAAGATTCAATCGGGAAATGCTCTCTAATGAACTTCCAATTTTTGTAAATAATCGTACGAATTTATCAAATACTAGTTTAACAATAAGTAAAGATCAAACAAGTGAAACATTATACGAAATGACTTCTACTGAATTACCTCAATGTATCGTCGAGCTTCAAAAAAATTCTGCAACTAACAAGGATGACACTTCTGGCATAAAGAACAATGAAAACATACAACAGAATATGTTAAGTTCCCACGAATTACCAGTTGTGGTTTTGGAATATAATAAATAAGCCAGTTAATTGTATTCAAGAGATGTATACTTTATTTTATTTTAAATGGTAAACAACATCCTTAATTATTCATAAATTAGTTTGAAATTATATTTTTCATAAAAAATTGTAAATATATTATACATAAACATACAATTTTATTTAAAATTTAATGAGAATGTGAAAGTATTAATAGCTGCTTGAGTGATAGCAAATCGGATATACATATACATATGTATAATATATTTTTAATTCTGTACATTTAATTTCAATATAAATATTATTTTATAAACCACATACTTTCTTACATTATTATGTACAATAATAATTCAGTAGTATACTTTTTGTGAAATATCACGACGTTGTATATAATTAAATTCATCAATGCAAAGGAACTTTTAAAATATATCACACTGTGCAGTAATACATAAAACAGATGCAACGGAACTTGTGATACAATAGAGAGATTTATTAAGTCTTATTGAAATTGATAAGAAATACAGGATTCTCTAGTAAAAAAATGCAGATATGTTTACGACCTATCCATCGCTATTATTACTTTGTTTCATAGTAAAGTAGGCGCTTTGAAGTTCTTTAAGATTACTCTCCAACGTTGCAACTTCGTCGTATCTGCAATCAGCTCTAGCTTGCTTGATATAAGCTCGAAGATTGCTCATTTGTTCGATTATTGGATCCATAGAAGGAGGCATTATAGGTGTAACATTAGAAGGACCCCAACCTTGCGATTGGTTCAACACCACTGCCGGCTAATAGAAAGATTAATGAATTATTTAAACCGATGTAAATGAAATATTACTTAGGTAAAAATAAGAACTATTACTTTATCTTGTGTGTTATCTTTTACAGGAGGTCGAACCTCGGTATTCCATCCTTCTCTTCTACGTTGTTCCTTCGACCTTTCCCTTTGTTCTTCTTCCAATTGTCTTTCGTACGCTATTCTAGCTTCTAATCGTTTCTGACGTTCCTTCTGTAATTCTGCATATTTCTCTGGCGAAGGCAAAGCTTGCACGCTTAGTAATTCTTCCTTTAGAAATATCATTGCGGATACTCTGACCATGTGATGCAGTCGTACTTCTTGTTCCTGTGGAGGACTTTCCACACACTTTGTTCCAAGTACAGATATTCTTTTGCTAATCAAGTCTATATTTTCTCCTAATTTCGCTATCTTAACTCTTAAAGTTTGAGCATCTTCTAGATTATACGTAGATTCTCCTTCGCTAAAAAAATATAAAATCATATGTAGATATTACAATGTTAAAAATGTTCATTTTATAATTGAATAACATACCTTAAGGATTCCCACATTTTGTTATACATTTTGACATGTTGAGAGGCCTCTTCCATGTATGATCTCATTTTTTCATAGAACTGACATACAATTGGTTTGTCAAAATGTTTTGCTTTCTGTTTCTCTCGTGCATCAAGAAGATTTGCACAATGCGTACAAATCCTAAAATGCTGTTCAGTACCTGTTGAATCATTAACCAGTGATAATACACTGTTTAAACTACTACTGGACGGTGACCTAGCTAGCTTTGTAAGACCGATACCAGCGCGTACTATCCGTTCTGAAATTGGGCGTTCAGAAACAGGAGATACCGCTAAATCATCTTGTACAGATACAGGACTTGTCATTTTTTCTAGAAAAGAACAATGAATTTTATGTATTGAAATTTTCTTCTACATATATTTCTTTTTAATTTCAAAATTACTCACTTGCATCGTGTAAAGATAGAAATATTGTACAACTGTGGCACATAACAGCACCGCATAGTCTGCAATGATGTTTTCTTCTTGCAACATGAAAGCTCTTTGCACAAGTTGGACATAATTTTACATCCTTTTCATCTATCCATGGCACAATGGTACGTTCATGAACTATGGTAAGAGCAATAAAGATAAAGGAATAATAATTCACTTAGATTTAAAAGTAGCCAATTACAATTATACCTTTTCTATCAACTGGATCATTTGGTAAATTATTTAATAATTTATCTAGTCTTATCAGAAGTTTGTTTGTTTCACTAGAATATCGTTCCAGTCTCATATTTCTTATTTCCTTAAAGTACTTTGTATGTGATTTTATTGCACCTAAAATTAATTAATCATGTTCATATGCAAATGCAAGAAAGCTTTGTATGTAGTAAACTTGTAACATATGAATACCTATTTCTTGAGGTCCCCAATTAATTTCTGGACTGCGTTGCCTCTTATGCGATATGTTTTCTGCAAATGATTCTGATATTTCATCTTGCTTTAAAATTTTCTTTTTAGCCTTGCCAAAAAGATCTAGAAACATGGAAGTTTGAGTTATTTTATTAGGTCAATGCACTCGTTAACATAAATACATGAATTATTTAATTTTTTAACATTAATTTTGATACATTGTCGAAAATTGTTTTTAAATAATTTGTTACACGTAAAGCTCACACCTTTAAGCGATTTCAAAATCTCTGGATCATCATTATGAAAATCTTCGAAATGTTTAGTCAATTGATACGGTGCTTTGAAATCTGTCATACATATTGGACAAATAAATCCTTCTAATACTTCTTCGCTGCCAGCCATTGTGAAATGCGATAATTAAAAAAGTTTCACTATCTTTTTATACAATGTTATTTTTATACACGATATCAATCATTTGTTGGCGTCTCTTCGACCATAGACAGACAGCGTGGTTTCTGAGTAGCCATATTGAATCCTATCAGCTGATAGAAATGTCAAACTTTTCTTTGTATTCTACTACATCAAAAGGTTTTTATGTAGTAATCATTAGGTCTATGTCTATGACACATATTACATTATTTTGATAAAATTTTATTTAATTAATATTCAAGATATACCTTCATATCTTATATAAATACATAAAGCGCAAAGATGTCCTTCTGTATCACTTTTCAACTTAAGAACTGCTAGGGTTAGAAATACGCTTTATACGTCGTTAGAAAGGTCTCACTGAGACTAGCTCAAAATCGTTGCATTTGTGCATCAAAGTGTTCGGAGTCAAAAGTTACAGAGGTTTCAATTTTTCTATAAAAAGTCTATGGGTCGCACATTTTAGCTTCGGGGTCCTTGACACCCCGGATGCCATAATATCGGTATGTAGAGCATTGTCGATGCTTCGGGGTCCTCAACACCCCAAGATGATATTTTGTCGGCGAGTAGAGTTATCGGGGTCCCTGAAACCCCGGATGCCATAATGTCGGTATGCATAAAAGTCAACGGGGTTCCTAACACCCCGGGATGATATCAGGTCGGTATGCAGAGAGTGCCATCGATGCATCGGGGTTCCTGGCACCCCGGATGCCATAATGTCGGTATGCATAGTATGTCAACGGGGTCCCTAACACCCCGGGATGATATCAGGTCGGTATGCAGAGAGCGCAATCGATGCATCGGGGTCCCTGGCACCCCGGATGCCAAAATGTCGGTATGCAAAGAGTGTCGCTCGTACTTCGGGGTCCCTAACACCACAGATGATATCAGGTCGATGTCCAGAGAGTTTCATCGGCGCTTCAGGGTCCCTGAAACCCCGAATGCCATAATGTCGGTATGCAAACAAAGTCAACGGGGTCCCTAATACGCCAATATGAAAGGTCGGTGTGTTTAGCTCCCCCTGTGGCTCGAGTGGTTTCGAATACAGCCATGGTATCCCCTGCCTGTTGTAAGAGGCGACTAAAAGGGATCACACAAACACATACACAGGTACATACATACACACGCACACACACACACACCGATTCAAGCGAAAAAGATGAACAGATGGAAAGAGTGCGACATTTAACATTATGGACAAGTATGAGTGGAAGTCATTTATTATTTTATCCCTCTGCATGGGCCTCGGCTCAACCTTCCCAATTATTTCTAATTTTTTTGTCTTTAAGGGCCTCACGAAGCCCAACCTTTTATCACTGCATCCCTTACATGTCTGCATCCTTGACATCCCTGTATCCCTTATATCACTACATTCCCTATATTCCTGCATCTTGTATATGCCGGCATTCCGTATATCTCGGCATCCCTTACATCTCTGTACCCTTTATATCTCTGTATCCCATACACTCCTGAATTCTCCCTGCATCTCTTGTATCCTCTCAACCCTTATAATAAATATATTATAAATAATATACTTATGGCCACAGGTTCGAATAAAGGTAAGTAAAGGTAAGTAAAGGTAAGTAAAGTCTCATGAAAAATAGTTTTAAATTTAAATTTTCGCAAAATTTAGTTCCTTTTTCCGAAACCAGATGGCGCTGATTCGACATCGAAATTTTAGTTCACATTTTTGCCGCTAGAGGGCCAAATTTGATGCGTGGTTTAGTTCCTTTTTCCGAAACCAGATGGCGCTGGTTCGACATCGAAATTTTAGTTCACATTTTTGCCGCTAGAGGGCCAAAATTGATGCATGGTTTAGTTCCTTTTTCCGAAACCAGATGGCGCTGATTCGACATCGAAATTTTAGTTCACATTTTTGCCGCTAGAGGGCCAAAATTGATGCATGGTTTAGTTCCTTTTTCCGAAACCAGATGGCGCTGATTCGACATCGAAATTTTAGTTCACATTTTTGCCGCTAGAGGGCCAAAATTGATGCATGGTTTAGTTCCTTTTTCCGAAACCAGATGGCGCTGATTCGACGTCGAAATTTTAGTTCACATTTTTGCCGCTAGAGGGCGCTGTTACGAATGCGAAGGTGTGATTTCAGGGATGTAAAAGTGTTAAAGGGATGTAAGGGACCGCAGAATGTAGGGAATAGAGTGATATGTGGGAAGCAGGGCTGTATGGGAAGCAGGGTTGTAGGAGGAACAGACATTTAAGGGATGAAAAGATGTAAAGGATTGAAGGTTGTAAGGGACAGGAAGGTGTAAAGGATAAAGGGATGTAAGGCATATGGTGATGTGAGGGACGCAGGGATGTAAGGGATGGGGGAATATGGTGGATGCAAGGATGTAAGGAACGGAGAGATGTCTAGGATGAAGAGTTGTTAGGAGTGTGAGGAATGCAGGGAATAAGGGATGGAAGGATCTAAGGAAAGAAGAGATGTCAGGGATGGTGGGTTGTGGGGAATAAAGGGCCGCAGACGACCTGCGTGGGGGCCCAGGACGTCATTGCACGCGGCCCCCAGGATAAAGCCGGCACCGGGTGCGACCCCGGTGTCGGTCGTAAAGCGAGCCTGCTTTAAGGCTCTCCAGAGAAAGGGTACGAATTTGTAAACCAGGGGATGTTCCGGTGTAATATATACAAGATTCCGGAACCTCCCCTTAACGTTCGAGTAGGTCGCCGTGGGGTTTTAGTCGGTAAGAATCCGACACTCCCCCGCTGCCCTCCCCCAGGGGACGGTGGGGGGTCTTATGCAAGATTTCCCCACGTTAAAAAAAAAAAAAAAAAAAATACGTAAGAGATGCAAGGAACACGCAAAAGATGCAGTGGATGTGCAAGGGACGCAAGGAATGCAAGGAATACGCAAGGGATGCACGAGATGCGCAAGGGATGCACGAGATACGCAAGAGGTGCAAGGAATACGCAAAGGATGCAAGGATTACGTAATGGATGTAAGAAATAGCGATATAGGGGTTGCTGAAATATATGGGATTTAGAGACGTAAGGAACTTAAGGGTGTAAGGGATGGAGGGATGTAAAGAACGTAGAAGGAGAACGTATAACCCTGTAAGGGATAGAAGGATAAAACAGATATAGAGATGCAGAGATATAAGGACAATCGTGGTCCTAGGGAGGCTCATAAAGGGGGTACAAAATATTAAATCAGAAGGGTGGATAAGTCGAGTCGCACATGAGGGATGAAATCATAAATCTTCCCCCTTTATGAGCTTAATCAATAAACTACGATAAACTAAAACCCCACGGCGACCGACACTGGCGCTAATCAAATGGTTATTATTCAACTAACGTCTTAAAGTTAACTCAAATAATGTTTATTTTTTAATTTTTAACAAAAATTTAATGCTCGATCGATACTGTGGTACTATCATTGTAAGAGTTACGCATTATAGTTAGAAAGGTCTCGCTGAGACTAGCTCAAAACCGTTGCGTTTGTGCATCTAAGTGGTCGGAATCAAAAGTTACAGAGATTTCAATTTTTCTATAAAAAGTCTATGGGTCGCATATTTTAGCTTCGGGGTCCTTGAAACCCCGGACGCCATAATGTCGGTATGCAGAGTATCGCTGATGCTTCGGGGTCCCCAACACCCCAAGGGGATATTTTATCGGTGCGCAGAGAGAGTCACCGGGGTACCTGGCACCCCAAGATGATATTTTGTTATTGCCCAGAGAGAGTTACCGGGGTTCCTGGCACCCCAAGATAATAATTTGTCGGTGCGCAGAGTGAGTCGTCGGGGTCCCAAACACCCCAAGATGATATTTTGTCGGAGCGCAGAGAGTCACCGGGGTCCCTGATACCCCAAGATGATATTTTGTTGTTGCCCAGAGAGAGTCGCCGGGGTTCCTGGCACCCCAAGATAATATTTTGTCGGTGCGCAGAGAGAGACGTCGGGGTCCTTGATACCCCAATATATCATACCGGTATGTAGAGAGCGCCACGGAGGCATCGGGGTCCCTGATACCCCGAATGCCATAATGTCGGTATACAAAAAGTATCACCGGTGCTTCGGGGTCCTCAACACCCCGCTATTATATTTTGACGTTGCGCAGAAAGTCACTGGGGTTCTTAACACCCCAAGATGATATCAGGTCTGTATGCAGAGGGCACCATTGGCACTTCGGGGTTCCTGAAACCCCAAATGCCATAATGTTAGTATGCAGTGTTAATGGGATCCCTGACACCCCATCACTGTATCTGCGTATCCCTTGTTTGATTATAAATTTCTATTTTATGGATGCACTTTCAAAGGGAATCAAAGAAAATAACATTTATTAAAAATTATAAAGATATTTACTAAATGTACAAATTCATGGTACTATACATAAACTTAATAATATATAAATGTAATTAACTATTTTATAGTTGCAGAATTCAGTCTTAATCGTAACTTCTTTATCTGATTACACGTTCCTTTCATTAAAATCATAAATATACAATTAAGTTTTTATTGTTGTACTGCTATATCAAATAACTGATCAGCTAAAATTCTAAATTCTTTCGAAGCTTCACAATGTTGTAAAAGATTAGAACTAATTTTTTCTTCGCCATAAAATGCACCAGCAATTGCACCAGTCATACTACCAATAGTATCAGTGTCCCCGCCTAAACTAATCTGGAAAGTAGTAGATAAAATTTGATTTTGAAAGTACTATTGATTGCGATATTTTTATTTAAAAAAATATAGTAAACTATTATACGTACAGCATACTGAATTGCTCTTCTAAATGGATTTTCAGTTTGTATACCTGTAATTGGTTTCTGTGCTCTTAAAAAACAAAATATTGCTGTAGGTACAGAATACAAAGCTGTAACACTGTTTCCAAGCTTTTCTACTACTTTTTCAGTGTGCTGTCCATCATCATTTTCAGATATTAACGATTTTAATATGCCTAATTGTACTTTATATGGTTGTGGTTCTGACAAACCTAAGCTGCAAAATACAGAAATTATCTACTATTGTAGTCCCAAAGTAAATAGATATGTTTACTTCATTTCCTCACAGCAGAAATACAAAAAATATTGTTTAAAATTAATCTAGATATTTTCATTGTGTTAAATACACATCTGAAAAAGTTTTGTTATAAATAATGCATCTTATGATATTCTCAAAACGTACCCCTCTTCGTCTGTTTCTATTTGGTCCATTTTATTAATTAAGTCATCAATAAAATTTGTTATATTCAGTTCTTCGCTAGGGTTTAAGAGAAGACTTTGATGAATAGCTACTGCCTTCAAAATAGAAGTAATATTAATTAATGTTACAATTATATTGATAAATAGCATGTATTAAATTCACATACTTGGAGAATAGCACCATCTATTCCAACTTTATTTGTATGGGTGAGTTGAGTCGCTTGCCTCACGGTATCTAAAAGTTTATCATAGTCTTTATAACAAAACAATGCTATAGGCGTGACTCTCATTGCTCCACCATTCCCCCATGAACCTTGGCCATTAAACTGCTCTTTTGCTGGACTTACAATGTCTGCAAATTTGTTAACCCTTAACTTCTGGAACACCTTTAAAAATGTCAAGTTTAAAATAATAACAGTGATCTTGAATTCTGCATTTATAGTATTTGTAATGATATCGTACTGTTACAACTGCAGGGCCATAGCCTCGTTTAGGTTCTTGGTAATAACTCTTAACAAATCTCTTGGCAACATCAACAATGTTCAATTCCTTTAACTCGACAAAAGATTTGGCCAAAGAATGAGTCATAGCAGAATCATCTGTAAACTGCATGACAGGTGCTATACAGTTAAAAAATTCTTGATAAATAGATGTTTACTTATTTTCAGGTTTTGTCTTGTACAGTGATAATTTAAAAAATCAACTTTACCTTTAAACATCGGTCCCTCCAATTTATCGAATGATTGTTGTAAAACTATTTTCATACCATTTGACAATTCTTCGTTTTCATAAGGGCTTCCAAGGCAATCACCGATTAATCCACCAAGAATAGAACCCCGAAATTTACTTCTTAATAAGGATAAATCCATCTTTGCCATAACCTTTACAATTCCGTAAATTCTTTATAATTCAAAATTGCGCCGGTACTTCAATGTATAAAGATTGAGTTTTGTTCAGAAATCTATAAACAGAACAGGCATTTATTAAACAGGTTCATATTTAATAAATAAGTAGCAATAATAAGTAAATACATATGTGTGAGGTAAGAATAAATAAATATTATTTAACTTCAGGGGTGTCTGGGACCCCATAAAACATGACCCCTCGAAAACAAACGCATGTCCAGTCTTTCGCATCTGTAGTTACTGCTGCTCGGAACCAGAGACCGGATATTGGACGGGTTTTCCCGCGCATGCGCGAGTTTTGCAGGGACGTATCTATGTGGTGGCGCAACTACGGACTAGGCCCTCGGACCTAGGTTAGTGTTGCCAGCGGGAAAACAGCGTAAACATTCATTATGAGGTGGACGGATTACAAGATTTTTGTAAGCTACTAAGTAAGTTATATTTAAATACAAACTGGCATCTAATATTGGTGAAGGAGCTATTAAAATTATGCAGGGTGATTAAGGTACCCCATTTTATTGGAACTTGTATTATACTGATACTAAAATCGCCGCGCATGCGCGAAAAAACCCGTCCCATATCCCATCTCTGCTCGGAATTGGCAGTGACATCTGTAGGGATGTCAACATTAATGAGAAGTCTAAGCAGAGAAATAAGATTAATTACTATATAATCGCCAAAATTAATTAACACATTTAATGTAATGGAAAATGCCTCCAAAACCCAAAACGGTATCTTGATTTGATCTCTTATTCATATCTTTGTTTCTTAACAATGACCGCGTGCCTGATTAAAACTACCCTAGACTACATTGTCATTAATAGAGCAATAACAATGTTCATTTATATTCATTTATATTCATTTCAGAGTGCTAAAAAACCAGCGATAAACAAAAGAAAACCAGAACTAGCAAGAACATCAAATTCTGCAAATGTTGGTTCAGAAACTACTAGTGGTTTAAGTCAAGAAGCTGAAGATCAATTTGAGTTAGAGTTATGCTGGTGTATCCAGCAATTAGAAATGTGTCTAGCTACTGGAAAACTTGCTGAAAAACAGGCACTTGATTTAAATAAAAACATAAGTATCCTAAAGAGCAACAATGCACCTTTGATTAAGAAAAGACAAATAATGCGTAACACTTTGGGGAACTACAGAGAGAAAATGGCTTTGGATGAACAGAAACTTGGCAAAACCACATCCTCTATTAAATTTTTGCCTGCACCTATGCAAAATAAAAAATGTATATTCCTTAAGAAGGCTAGTTTTAGTTCTGTAAAAAAGAAACAGTATTCAGATAATGATACAACTTGCTTAAGTGCAGATGAACCTTCCATTGATATTGACGATTTACAGACTGTATTTAAATTTAATTTTCAAATTAAAGAATAAAGAAACCTTTTGTACATATTTAAGAATATAGTTATTCACTTTTGCTTTGTATTATTTTAGTTTTCGAAATAATAGCTGTTGTCCTTTTACTTATCAATATTACGTTGAAATACCTAATTAAATACTACAGTTAATAACTATAATGATACTGTTGTTGGCGCTACTTCATGCGAATACAAATATTTAATTTGATATTATTTTATAATAAATAAACGTTAAATTGCGTATTATTAATTCTTTAAGTAGAAACTTATTTTACTAGTAGTCGAAGTCAATGGTAAGACGGTCCTGTGGCGCAACGGATAACGCGTCTGACTACGGATCAGAAGATTCCAGGTTCGAATCCTGGCAGGATCGAGAATGTTTTTTTCTAACAAGAAACTTTTTAAATCAATTTACAATATTAATTATGAACACAATTAATAAAAGAACACAGAGAAAATTATACAAAATTTATCACATAATTTGCTAACTAATAAATTCTAAATCGAAACGAAAACAAAATTTCTACCATTGAAAACAGGGATAATTTAACTGATCAATGAAAAATCCATCATGTAAATAAATATTATGTTATGATATATTTAACAACCAGTAGTAACAAAGGTATCTCGTCTCTCTTACGGTACTTATAGCAACAGAACAGCACTCTTTATCGTATGGTACAAGCTTGAATCCGTATATATAACTATGTATATTTATATATAATATATGCATTATAGGATGCCTTAAAAGTCTATCGCACAATTTCACGTCGAATCTGTCGATGAAAAGTTCGGATCGAAACAATGAACAAATTACTCGTCGAGAAACGTTCCAATTCGTAGGATCGTAAAACGGATGCATCAACTGTACGTCATCGTTCGAATCCAACAAAAATACTATAATGTTCGTTGCAACAGGTAAAACTTAATGATATGAATTCGAGCTCGTCGAATTTTCTTGAAGGATGCATTAGACTCTTACGACTCCCTGTACAAATATACGTATTCTTCGAAGGACTTTGTTTCATTTTTTTATTCCTTTTCATTAATAACGTAACAGTGATATATATTTATATATATATATATGCATCTAGAAAAAAAAATTTTTTTCAGTTCCACCTTTGTCTCGTTTACGGGTCAAACTGATTGCAACTTATTAAAGACTCGTTAAATGACTTGCACGTTCGCTAAATAGAAATATCCTCTTATTAAAGAAATATAATCTTCTAATAATAGTCTTATATTAAATATATAATTCTTTATGTATACATATCTGTTCTTTTCTCAATTAAATATTTCTTTCATTCTTTGCATCATTTTTCATCTTTTTTTTTCTTGTTGAAAATCAAACGCGCGCCTTACTTTATGTAACAACGTTGCAAAACGCGGGTTCAGTTTCTTTTTTTTTCCCATACATACATATATATTTGTTTTTGTTGGCTTTTTTTTGGTCTTTACAGAGCGATTTTTGCTTCGGTCGTCTTTGGTAGAAGCACGCGTTTCGACGAAACGCTCATCCTCTCGTAGTCGAATAGCTTTTTATTTTACTTTTTTTTCTTTCTTTCCAAGAGAATTTTTCTCGGTTGCGTCTCTCTGTTCCCTGAGTCGGTGTATAACCATTTCAGTCTTCGCCGTCCCCCCTTCGTTCCTTCTCTCTTCTTTTCTTTATTTTTACAATGTACCTTTCTTACGATAGTCGAACAATCATCGTTCTGTTTAAATTATAAACAAGGTCGATGCATTGTGACTCACAGACTTTTGTTAACCTCAAAACAATATTCATTTTTTTTTTTTATAAATCAACGTGTTAAATTATTTCTTGGAAGATGCACGTGTATTAACTTTGGAAGAATCATCTACCATTTAAGGATATTAAAATAAAGTCAAAATAACATTCTGTGAGTCACCAATTGTTCAATAAACATACTGAAATTTAACAAACAAAATAACGATACCCGTGTCAACTCGTCGCCGCCATATACAACAAAATTGTCTAATTAATTTTCTTCAATTTTCCTAACACAACTAAAAATCGAATGGACTTGTATTAAAATTTTTAACAAAAATCAATAAAACAAAAAGAAAAAGAAACGTTTCGATGTTCGTCTCGTTAATAAATCTTTTCTATGTACACCTCGCATGTATAGTCTCGGTTCACCGTTCGCGAAATAGCAGTACGTAAAACGAAGGAATTCCCCTCGAGAAACAAGAAAAATGACACGTACGTTATATACATATATAATACTCGATAAACCTCGGTCAACCCTATGTATACATATATTTGCTAATACCCTATAGAATGTACACAATTGTCTCTCCAAACAGCAATATTTTCACTTAATTCAAATTATAAACAATTTCAGTAAGTATTTGATACCAATAGAAAAAGTTAAATTTGTTGAAAATAACATTGCTTGTTAATAAAATTTTCATTGAAATTTACATAGCAAATAAAGGGCAGCGTGTACACATACAGGCATAGATGACTTTTCTCAGTTACCCTTTCTTTACACCGATTCGTTATATTTTAAATTCAAATTTTTCCGCGTGAACGTTTACTCTTCCCTGTAATGTCGTTCTCCCCGTGGTTACCAAGAGATTAGAGTGGCAGTCGGGGGAAACCTACAGGGGGGATCCCTATTTTCCTTGGGGAAGCGTAATTTGATTGCAGATGTATAAATATATTTTTCCATTATACCAATGCTCGACCACTTGCCAAATTTTCTAACTTCATTCACTCTACCAATGTAAACCGGGCTTGAAGAGTGGTAGGGTACACTCTCGCTTAACCGAAGGGAGTCATCTATGCGCGCAACTGTACATAAGATCCTATATCTCCGTTCAGAGAGGCAATGCTGTACACGTACATGGTTTTTTGTGTCCGCCGTGTATAAGTGTGTGTATATATAATTTTTTTCTCCTTATATATAACATTTTCTTTTTTCTCATATATATATTTATAAAGATTCAGGACTAAAAATCAATGTATAAGAATAGCGTGTATTCGATATATGCTCGGTGAACAGAACATACCTTTCGAATAGAATCTGTATGTAATATAATCAATCATCCGAGCGTGTATCGTTTCCATCGCACGAAATACACGCGATCTATCTATCTCTCACGCATACATTCGTATCATCTTTTTTTATCTTTTACAATCATTAGTTAAATAAATAAGTTCTCTTCGCCGTTCTCGATCGCTCAGAAACGTACACGCACACCTAATAGCTCAATTGTCTTTCGTCTGAGGCACATTTTTCTATGTAAATTGTCACGAATCGAGTTCCGTGCTTTCCTGTTTTTTTTTTTTATTTTTTTTTTTTTGCTCTGTGTTTCTTCAGGAAAGATCAAGGGACACAGGGTTCAGAAGGCTGTTCAGGCGTTCGTTCGATAAACGTCTGGAAGAAAACGATCGAGCATTTCGACGTTTTATTTTTTTTAATGGTGATTTTCTATAATTATTGTGCAATTTCGAATCACTTCGAGAAACTTAACAAAATAAATAATTTGATAGTCTTTAATTATTACTTGGAAATATGAATTATATTGATGCTACGAAGAGTCTTGCAATATCTCTGAGTGAGGAAAATATAAATAATGTTCCTTGCAAAAAGTAACTATATATTTATGAAATAAAATATACTAATTTCTCGAAATTCGCAAAGTGATTCGAGGCAATCGTTAACCCGCCACTAATTTTTCTTTTTACACAAGGTTTCATCACAGACAACAGTGAACGGAAAAATCAATAAGGAGTCGTTGATCAGGTTCGATCTTTCGTATCGACACGAGGAAGAATCGTGTTTCTGTACAAATCGGGCCACCATTTGTCGCCTCGATGGTTGCGAATGATCGAAATCTTCACGAATTAACACACCGCGTACAACGAGCTATTCATTTCCTTCGTATATTTTACATTTTCATCGGGAGATTCTTTTCGAATAGTATTTTAATCGTGTGCTACATCATTTATGATTAATCATTGAACAGCGGAGTCTGGGTCAATCGAGACCCGAACGTACAAAAGGTTATTAATTATAATTTTGTCATTTCAAAAGAAGCGGTAAAAAATCTACAAAATGAAAAATATTACGTTAAAGTTGAGGCGCTCTCCGTGGTCCGCCGTCTTGGGAGGCTCTCTCCATGGTCCGCCGGCCGAGGGTTGAACAAAATAGCACACGATAATCGATGAATTAAGGGATATAATCACCCTTTAGCTATAATTTTTCACACGTAATTGTAAGAAAATGCGAAAACGAGTACGCAATGTGTTAACAACGGGAATACATACACATATGTACATACATAATATCGAACGAGCTGGGCGAACATAGTATTCATGATAAAATAATAAACAACGAGGAGAAAAAGAAATTTTTCATTAATCAACCCTTTGCATTGTAATTTACTTTTTATATGCCGCTATATACCTTAATCGAATCTCTTTATTTCTACAGCAAAGAGTCAATTTTATATGCTAATGAAGTATTTTATGAAATAACTGGTTCTTAGATAGGGAGGTCCTACAGGGAGACGTAAGAGCAATATTTCATATTCTTTAATCTTTTAAGAAGATTTTAATTAACTAAATTGCGCACACTTTTGAGCAACCCTTTGAGAGATACCTTGAATAAATAACTTTGTTGCTTTCAATAGAATAATTGAAAAATTATCTTAAATGTAATAGAGTATATCTCATTATGAATTGTTCATATACGTTGACTTAGTACAGTTCTAATATTATTTAGAATCTTCTTTCTGTATTCGTTTTTTTAAATAAAGAAAAATCAATTTCTATCGCAGTCAAAATGTTAAGATTGGTCCAATATACAAATTTCATTTTGAACGAAGATAAACTTAAGATCTACAGAGGTAATTCAACTTAAGATAGTACACAGATAAATGACTAAAGGATGAAGCGATTAATTCGTTTGACAAAGAAAACGCTTGTTTCTATATATAAAATACTATTTTCCACAGCTCTGATCGATAAAACGTAATCCTAAACATGGCATAAAATTAAATTTAGTATCTACAATAATTTAAAGATTGCGATAAGGAACAGTGTCGCTCGGGGACCCTATTTTGAATCTGATACGGGCCCGCAGAAGCTTCTGAACAAACCTAAAAATCGTTCTTTTGCCTTTAATCATACAAATTTTGAAAAATGTTGAAAGAGAAGCACTTGGTACTTTCACTGAACCTTTCAATAACTGCTGAGTAAAGTAATAGCTCTTTAAACAAGCAAATTATTCTGCAATCTTCCCCTATATCTTTTAATACTGTTGGTATTATATTCTACGTATGTTTAAAAGCAAACTGTATTCAAAAGGATGCAAGTATCAGAGAAGTAAGAAAAATTGAACTAAACAGAGACCCCAAAACCAATGAACAAAATTCAGAACGTTGCTTTGAATAAAAATATAATTTAGTAGAAAATACGCAGCAAGATCCTTTAAACTTCTCCAGTTAAATTACCATTAATCCTACCCTACAGAGAACAAAAGTTTGAAAATTTAAACATCAATTAAATGAATAAAACTATACATGTACTTATAACAAGAATAACATCTTAAAAAAGAATACTGGCTACTTTAGATTTGATCATTTCAAATAATCAGATAAACTAGAAGGCAAAGTTTCACCGAAAAGGTATTGTAAAGAGGAAGGCTCCGACGAGCCCGTACGAAATTCAAGACGCGGAAGTCCCCGTCCGCAGGTTCCGGAAATAGGAATGACGCAATGCTCGCTCGAGTCGCATCGAGCGTCGAAGGCAGCCAAACGTTACATTACATTACAACATCGCGTGAAATGCATACGTATAGGAGACACAACACGAAGGAGACGCGAGTTTAATCGTCCCGCCGAATCGAACACGAACGACCGACGATCTACTCTACGATGATGGTGGCCAAACGTTTGGGCCGTTTCCCAGCCTTCTGTTTCCGATGGATCTCTCTGAGGTCCGCGTGAGAAGATTCGTGCAACTCGGCCGTCAGAGGATCACCGCCACCGTTCACGGTCTGTTCTTCGAGTTTTCGTTTCCTGGACCTAGTCACCGGGCCAGTCCTGTTTTTATAAAGTTCACTGTCCAGATGGATCCTCTTGTACCGCTTCGAGTAGATATCTTGGTCCGAGTGGTCGTCGTCGCGCTTGCGTCGCTTTTTGGGTGTCTCCTGCATGATTCTGGGCGAGTTCGAGTCCGATGAGGACGACAGGGAGCTGAGGTACTCGTTCACTTTGTCCTCGCCGAAGTCGAAGGCGCTCGGTTGAGCCGGAGAAGCGGAGGTAGCGAGATTGGTAGCCGCGCTGGGTGGTCTTAACAATTGTACAGAGGGGCTCGAGGAGGTGGTGGAGGCGGAAGAGGAAACGGAGCTGGAGGTGGAACGTTTATGAAGCTTTCTCCTCTGCGCGAGCCTGGCTCCGTCCACCTCGCGCAGTCGGAAGCCCTCCGGCTTCTCCAGGAAGCTGGGATTCGCGTGTTCGTGCGCTGCGTGAACATCGTAGGAGCCGGTGGTGGTCACGTCGAAGGAACTGGTCTCGTTCAGCCAAGGATGGTTCGCCAGACCGCTGGCTGTCAGTCTTTTACTCGGGTCGACGGTCAACAGACCCTTGGCGACTTGCTTGGCGAGGCTGGACACATGGTTCCAGGACTCGCCGTCGAAATCGATCTCCCCCGCCCTGATTCTGGTAGCCAGGTCCGGGGAGCCTGTCCTGAACGGAGGCTTCCCCGACAGCATGGAGTAAAGAATTGCGCCTAGACTCCAGAGGTCGCAGCTCTGGTCGTACCCTTGCCTGGCTACCACCTCGGGGGCCGCGTATGGAAGAGTGAAACAAGGCGTGTGCAGAGGCTCGCAGCCGCGTTTTATCCTGGCGAAGCCGAAGTCCACGATCTTCACCGAGGAATCCTCCCCCTCGTGAGCGAAGACTATGTTCTCCGGCTTCAAGTCTCTGTGGACCACGCCTCTGGAGTGCATGAAACGTACCGCGGAGGCCAACTGCCTCATTATCCTGCTGGCATGCTGCTCGCTGAACGGCCTCGGCCTCTTCAATAACTCTCCCCCCGATAGTAATTCCATCACTAGGTACGTGTGCGCCCTGTCCTGATGTACCTCGATCAGCTTGACCACGTTCGGGTGTCCTTGACAGGTGCGCAGCAGGTTCGCCTCCCTTCCGCAGTCGATTCTACGACTGACTATCTTCACAGCGAACTCCTGTAGCGTCTTCCTGTGCCTGCACTTGCGACAGACGGAGAAACTACCGTCACCCAGAGCCTCCTCGCGCGGATCCAGCTCGTAGGCCTGGAAGAAGGTCGATTCCTCGAACCTGGCCGCTAATACGTCCGATGCCGATGGTCGCTGAGATTCTGTACTAGCTTTAGTCGCCTCCTTGAAGATGTCTTTGCTGACCACGTTGTCCCCGAACAGTACAGAAGGCGCTACGTACGAGTAGCCCCGGAAGATCTTGTCGTAGTTCGGAGGAACTACCGCCGGACTATCGGCGGCGATCATTTTGGTGAACTCGTCTGAGAAATTACTGGTGTCCAGCTCGTGGGTGATTCGAGGGACGAACGGCGGTGGTATCTCTCGTCTCTCCAGGGACTCCCAACAGAAGGGTGGCGGTGCTCTTCTGAAGAACGGATGTTCCTTCAGCTCTTTGGCGTCGCTCGGCCCGCCACCCAACCGCTGTCGAGGATCCTTCACCAGAAGACGGAGGATAAAGTCTCGTACGGTTGGGCTGAGGTGACTGGGGATCGGAGGATCTGTTTTGAGGATTCTTCGTGAGATATCCTGTTGCGTGTTCTTCTCACCCTCCACCGTAAATGGAGACGCGCCGGTTAGCAGCTCGTACGTAAGAACGCCCACGCTCCACCAGTCCACTGCCTGAAAAATCATGGACTTTTTTTCTCTTTTTTTTAAATAGAATGCTCGGCTATGGACTTTGGAATTTTTAACTTAAATTATTTATTATTTATTAATTAGGCTGAGAATGTACAGAGTGTTTCATAAATAAATAAATAAAAGAATGAATTTATTTTTATTTAAGGAGATTGTATGATAGTAAAAATAATATTACCTTCTTAAGTAAATAAAATAAGGAAAAGAAAATATAAAGGAGATAATGAGGAGCCGATAAACAGTGATTTGGTCTGAGGTAAGGTTGACCGCGATAACGAAGTTCCAGGAACGAAGGGAACGAATCGTGACGCAAATTCATCCTGACTCACAATATCGTGTCCCGCTGAGCCCCCTCGTACCACTTCCGGTGCCATGTACTCGATAGTTCCGCAAAAGGAGTAAGCACGGGCGTTGCTGTCCCTTTCGTGCGGCAGAAACTCTTTACTTAAACCGAAATCAGTTAACACGATATGACCCTCTTTGTCCAGCAGAATATTTTCTAATTTAATATCCCTGTAGATGATGCCCAGCTGTAACAGAAAATTATTTTATTAATTAAAATATTGAATCAGAGGAAAGTATAATTTTGTTTTGTAAAATATTATATTCAATGCAAAGAGAAAAAAAAAAAGGAAAATGAAGACTCACTTTGTGCAAATGTTCTAACGCTAAAATAACTTCCCCGATATAAATCCGCACTTCGTCCTCGGTGAAGTGTTCCCGCTGATATAGATGCGTAAACAGCTCACCACCACTGACATAATCTGTAAAAAGCAAAGTTCTCGTTTGACTTCATCAATAATGTGCATCTTGTAACAAATTGATGTCATTGAAGTATTAAAAATAGTTTTCCTCCTATTATCATAGATTCTTCTACATCTGTTCTTAGTTTTATTATCAGAGCTCCTAGCACCAGACAAAAGGGGCACTTGTCCCGGGCCCCACGTTTAAATATTTTCAAAATACTATGAACACCCTATGTTAAATTTTAGAATGAATAATAGATATAAGATCCCTTTGTTATATTATAATTTTATCATAACAGATTTTAAGATTATCAGAGCCCCCAGCACCGGATAAAAGGGGCACTTGCCCCCGGGCCCCACGCTTAAATATTTTCAAAATACTATGAACACCCTATGTTAAATTTTAGAATGAATAATAGATATAAGATCCCTTTGTTATATTATAATTTTATCATAACAGATTTTAAGATTATCAGAGCCCCCAGCACCGGATAAAAGGGGCACTTGGTCCCGGGCCCCATGTTTAAATATTTTCAAAATACTATGAACACCCTATGTTAAATTTTAGAATGAATAATAGATATAAGATCCCTTTGTTATATTACAATTTTATCATAATAGATTTTAAGATTATCAGAGCCTCCAGTACCGGACAAAAGAGATACTTGCCCCCGGGCCCCACGTTTAAATACTACAAATACCCTATGTTAAATTTTGCAATAAATGACAGAGATAAAAATACCCTCTGTTAAACCATAGTTTTATTACAATAGATTTAAGGATTATTTCTTTCTGAATAAATATTTTCTCATAATTTCGACTCTGCCCCGGGCACCGCGATATTTAACGACAGCTCTGTCTATTATCATAGATACCATAGTGCATGTAATTTACCTAAAATCAGATGGAGCTTGGCGTCCGTCTGAAAGGCGTAATGCAAGGTAACTAAAAAAGGACTGTCTCGAACGGCCTCCAGAACTTGTCTCTCCGTTTTCGTGTGCTCGGTCGTCTTCTTCTTCTGCACGATCGACGCTTTCTTCAATACTTTCATGGCGTAAAGACGTCCAGCATCGGTGCCCGTCCTCTTTCGCACCAGGAACACCTTACCGTAAGCTGCAGAAAAGTTTTACCCATCTTATGTAGCCCTACTTACGTTCGCTCTTTATCGAAAGAGCTTCTTCAACTAATAGACGTGTTAATTATTTCTGACCGAAGACGTTTCAGGAAAAAATCTTTTAATGGGTTCTGTCTTGTTTTAATATGTCTTGTTTATAAATCTGAATAGTGACATTTATGAAATCTTGGAAATTTAGGACATTTAAAAAATATAGAAAATTTAGAAAACATAGGAAATTTAGAAAATATAGAGAATTTAGGAAATTTAAAAAATATAGGAAATTTAGGAAATTTAAAATATATAGGAAATTTGGGAAATTCTGATAGGATCCTCCTATTCCTATTTAATTCAACACCAGCAGACATGTGTTAATCCTTTGGAGACCGAGCATCGTTAAGCTTGCAGAAAGTATTATTAATTTAAATTAAAGGAAGTAATAATTCCATCCTCCAAAGCAAATATTATAAATCTTAACTGCCTACATTTAGAGCTCTGTTGTGTATCAAGAATATAAGGCAGTATATACGGAATTATAAATTATTATGATAATTATGTTTAGATCGTCCGTAAAGGGTTAAAAAGTTTCTTGAAATTGGTTTGTTAATCTTACTTTGGTTCAGTGTGCGCGACAAGGCGAATAATCTTTTATAAAGGATTTCGTTCACGTACCTCCAGTTCCAAGGACCTTCAGCAAATCGAAGTGCGTCATGTCTACCCTCTGTCCTCCGCTGTCGGCCAGGTTCACTGTAACCGACAAAAGATCACTCCATTTTATATTTAATTTATTCAATTTATTCCGTACAAAAGAGATAGATCGATATTTGTGAAAAATGTATAAATGTCTCATTATCGCAAATGATTTTTTAAACATTCCATCGAATGGTGGAGTAACGATTTTTTAACCATTTTTCACTACCTTCAGAAAAATAGTAGACGACCTTCATCGGCTGTGATTATCGAAATACTGTTATAACTGAACTTTCTATTTGAATGCCTCTGACTGGACTTTCGTTCCACGTACTTTCGAATGATTCGTGGATTAAGTACGACAGGAGGAAGTGATAAAACAGGAATACTTAGATCATTGTAATTCGAAAGTAAAATGATAACATGGAGATAATATGGTTGGATTATGTTTAGAATTGACTTAGAATAACATAAGTCAGATATAGCTATGTTGAATTTTAGATAAAGTTAATTGTAAATATAAATTAATAAATTTATGTAAATATAAGTCAACCCTCTGACGGCGGACCATGGAGAGAGCCCTAATTTTATCTCGTTAATTTCACACTGTTCATTTAAAAATTCTTCTTCCAATATATGAAAGAAAAATTCTAATTTAATTCTGTACATCATATTATTTTAATTTTCTAAATTTTACATCTTTCCTATAAAAAGCCCCAGGCTTTAATAAACTGAAATATTAAATTAACACTAAAAATTTAAAGTGAAGTCTAAGTTATAATTTAATAATCAATAATTATGAATTAACTGAGATGTTAAATATTGATTTAAATTTAAACATAAAATTTATTATTCATAACATAGATCCAAAATAAGATCGTTATAAAATGTAAATTAAAATTAAGTTACTTAAATCTATGGGTAATGAATTCCAATGGAAATTCAAGGATGGGTACAATAGCATTCAAAGTGTTAAATTACCATTTGAAATGATGATTTACTTACAAAAATATGATTCAGAGGGACATACATATTCGATAATTATAAAAGCCAGTTTTATTAACTGACATGATTAAGTTTCTGGTTTAATTAATTCACGTTTTCATTAGGAAATCTTATGTCTCATATTTTCGTATAAGAAACACGACAGTTCTTGTCGGGCAAAGCTCGCTTTATCAACATTTAAAATGTTTCTTTTCCCTTTTTCCTTTTTTGTCAAACTTGTGAAATTATCTTAGGCCAAGGCTGTGCTGCAATCGCTTTGTTAAGCGTACTTTATTCGATAAGACACCCGGTCGAACAGTTTTTACACGCTTACACACGAGATATCTAATTTGAATCAATATCGCGATTTATTTTTAAAACGGAAGTCATACGTTCGTGAAATTACTTGGAAGAAACAGAAGAGCTCAATGCTGGAGTACACTGCTTATAATGGAAAAGCAATTACAAATTTTTGATTTTATAAAGAAAATTAATTGCGATATTAAAAAACTTCGACAGCAACGTCTGAGACCGTCGCATCTTTTTCTTCGTGGAATAATTTATTGAAATTTACAAATGATATTTAATTTTTTTGCGATGGAATTTTGGCGATTTTTAAGTAAAATATACGAAACAAAAAATTTTGAAAGGTTTAAAAAACTGACTGGCTGTGTTTCTCATTAAGAACGTAACACCTTTGAAATATTGAGGCTTTTTGTTAATTTTCTTTACATTTGATGGGATAAAAAACTGGAGGAACCAAACAGGTGGTTTAATAGTGGAAATGTACCAGGTTTCGACTTGAATAAAAAAGCTATCCAGATTTGAATATCATAAAACATCTATGCAGAGACTGCGGTAGACTACAAATGAGAGAATTTATTAAAATATGCATTTATCGATACGAAATTGATTAATTGAATGTTACTTAAAAAACTGAATTTTTATAAGTATCATTAACTACAATAGCAATTGCAAATAAGAAAAGGAAAATATGCTTAACCTTCTATAGACACGTGTAACTATCCAAGGTAACATAGCAAATGTTTATCTTACATTTATGCACAATTTTCTTGTTCACACTTTTGAAATTAAAAAGAGGGTGACGTATAAGCCCCTGAATAATGATTTACCTTTTTTCTAAAAAAAGAAGTAAGAAATATAATATAAAACAATGTGTTTTTTATTCCAAGAACGGCGGACCAGGAAGACCGCCCCAAAACGGCGGACCATGGAGAAAGCCCTAATATTATTTTCAAAATTTTACATTGTTTTAATATATGAAAATCTTCCGTTTAAAAATTATATATTGAACTTTAGATTAATATCCTTATTTGGGTCACGACTGACTTAAACTCCGCTGTTGAAGCGTTAAATAATAAAATAATAATTTCCTTCCGTAGTCCGAATACTTTCTCTTCCGAATAGAATTATAGTTTATTATAAAAGAAATACACTGCAGCAATCAGGGGTCAACAACTGCATAAATTACCTTGCACAACATCATCGACTTTTGAAATACTTTTTCAAAAACACAGAAAATTTGGATTTTAAAAGGTTAATTGATAGATGAATAAAATACGATTTTAAAGACTTTCGTGGAACACTGAATCCACGGTCAGTGCTCTTGCTCAATGTTTGATATGAAATTTCGTCATGACAGAGATTTAATTGCGATTCCTCGAGACAAAGGCTGGATCCAATTTGCACGGCAAACATACGAGCATTTTTTAAAACAAAAATAAAATAATTTGAACAAAGGTGGATATTTTAAAGTATTTCAACTGCATATTTTACCAGTACAATTATCTAGCATTTTCATTTTAATAATACCGAACAGATTTACACGAAGAATGTCGGAATTTGACGACGGTGTTAATTGAAATTTTGGGAGGAAAAAGGTATGTGATTTCACAAGTCTGGAATCCATAGCTGGACATCGATTGTCATTCCCCAAGATCGAGACAAGGTCGGCGAAGATGATTGCAAAATGATTCTCCACTTTGAATATCGAATCAGCTTGTTTACAATCGGTCTTGGGGATAAAATAGGAAAAGAAAGAATTATTGATTCTTATGTCACTATACATAATACAAATTAAAATGATTCATTTGAATTTTAATAAAATGTCGAAATTAAACATTTAATTGCCAATCTAATATATTTAGAACGAATGCTAACAGAAAATTAATTTAACAAAAATTAATTAAAAGCTTTCTGTTTTCTGGAATAATGCAAAAGATATTAGAAATTAATAAACAGAGCGAAGAATTGTTCAAGTGTGGTAAAAATCACGAAATATCGTCATGGAATGCCGGTCATTCGAGGTGTCGTGTGCAAAGGTAGATGCACCTGCGGTGCAACTAATACGAGCAGGTGTGCAACCGAGAATAAGTATATGTATAGGTAAATATACGCCAGGGGAATGCAGCTGTGTGTTTGAAACACCGTATGAAAGAACAACTACAAAGGATTTCGAAACCGTAATCTCGTGTTCCGTTTAAGCTACGATCAAATGCAATTCTAATTGCAATTATAAGTGCATTCTGATCGAACGAAGACTTCAGAAATCCTCAGTGTTTTAAAAAAGTTGCGCGCCATGAAAGTCTTTATGAAATTCTTTATAGAAAATTTAATTTTTAAAAAATAGTTTAATTTTAGATACTTAATTGTAACCAAATGATGTGCACACAGATATATATCTGCGATCATGCAAATGAACACGTGTTCATACATGAATGCACACAATAGGAGATTATGTACATCGATCTTTGCTGTGTTGCAAAAAAAAGAAAAGTAAATGACCTTTAATTGTTTGATAGGGTTTGCTGATTTTGCGAATGCATATCTATTTACATATTCTATGATCACAAGTCAGCTGATCCTCGGACACTTAAGGAGAGTATTCACATTTGGAGGGGTCATTGTCAAAACTGAGCACTTAAAACTTCTTTTTTACTTGTTTCATCAGCTTTCAAGAAAGTACAATGTAAATATAGGGAACTCCACAAGTTCAAAACTAACTTATTAACGGAACTTTGCCACCTTATAGAATTCGTCAAGCTGAATACTCTTATTCTCCATGTTTGAGGCAGAGGTTTAATTATTTAAAAAATATTAACGTTATGTGATGAATAATAATGAAAAATTTTTAATTTTGTAATAAATGCAATGTCGTTAATAAATTAATTAAAAAAAATTAATTTTTTAATTAAAAAAAAGAAAATTAGGGAACCCGAGATTTGAACTGGCGACCTTTGGATTTGCAGGGATGGGTTTAACCCTTTGTACGTGTACTTTAGAATGTAAGGAGTAATTAACTTTAATTGCTAATATCTATTGAACAATTAGTGGCAATATTTATACATAGAGGCAAAGTTTCATTAATTAGTGATCGTAACACTTGAGGAGCAAGTGGAATAAAAAATGACTAATTAATATAGGTCTTAAATTAACCCTTTTTCTGTAAAATCAACTTTTATTTAATGTTATGACTTTATAAACTTCTGTTTACAATCTTGAACTAAACCATACTTGTTAAATAATAAAAGTTGATTTTACAGAGAAAGTTAATTATAGAGCCTATGTTAATTAGACATTTTTTATTCCACTACTTACAGTGCTGCAAGCCTTGTAAACATAAGACCATATTTTTTTTTAATCACCTTACATAATAGGATTAATTAAGCTGTTAAGAGGAAACATTTCGAAGGCTGCCATGTATTTTCTTTCTTTATTTTTAAATCAAATTATACACTCATATTCGAGCAGTAGTGCGACGTGGAGACAGACAAAAACGATGATTAGCCAAGGTTAGCTGTTTCAGAAGGTTATGCTAAATTTATTCTCGTGCATAGGTTACACTATTCATTCATGCAATATTTTTGAACGAGACCCTGAAATCGTGTTCTTTTCAACGTCACTCTTGACACTCGTCATAAGAACACCATTTCGCGTTATATTAAACAATTTACACATTTAGTCTCCTATTAGGTCCTTTTCATAATTTCAATCAATCATAACTATTTCCCCCCTTTTTCTAAATTTAGACATGGGTTACAAACGATCCAAAA